TTCTTGATACTGATAACTTATAACAGAAAAATTTAGGCCCTTACATATCTGATGCCAAGTGCTTTGCAATTATTACAATAGTTGCAGCACCCAAATATTAAGGCACAAACATGATTCATTGTAACACCCCGTTCTAGAACCGGATTGTTATCATTGCGTACGGCATTAAGCGCAGTTACAATCACATTGGTTCAATTAGAAAACCGGATAAATTTTTCCTCTTTATACAAGCCGGATTCAAATAACCAAGTGCGTGATCATAACTATATATACTTCGCGGAATAGTGGGACAAAACTTAAGATTATATTCCCATTATACTTGACAATACGTCGTGAAATGTCTTCATCACTTTACTTATCAAATTAATTCTAAACTCCTTTTATGATTCCCATCTTCTACTATGTTATAGTATTTTTTATTAGCTACGCGTGGGTTCAAACCGCGCTCAAATCGGAGCACCGTAGCCAAAGTTATGCACTTTTTAAGAAAAGGGTGCGAAACCTAATATTTTTTAAGTTATGCAATTTTATTAAGTTTCATATAAATATTTGGGATATCTTATGTTTCTTTGCAAAATTAATAAATATTATAAGTTTAGTTTCATTTTTTTGTTAAATTATTGAATATTAATATAAATATAATATGCACTACATAAATTAAAAATATTATTTAATATCAAAACGTGTCCTAACGTGCCGAAATCTAATATTTTTTAAAATTAACGTGTCAGAGTGTCGTGTCGTATCGTGTCACGTGTCTATCGGTGCTACATAGTTAGTAAGTCATGTTTTCTCTGAGCTTATATATGATTATAATATATGGGAATTTGGATAGTATCCTGATAAGAGTAGTTTATGATTTATGTTATCTCTATTAAAGTCGGACATATTACATATTTGTGGATGATTTCTGCCTAAAGTTATTTTATCAATTTTGGAAGATTAGCAAAAGATACAAACCCTGGGAATGAGTAATATCAAATTACCAGATATTTGGGCTCTCTTTGATTTTTATTTCATAAAACAGTTTTTTTTGTTTTTGTTTTGAGGATAAAAAAACAAAAAAACTTGTATGTTAATCAGTATTTCGTAAAAGTTTCGAAAATAACATCTGATTTTCAGTATTTAAAACCAAATTTACTGAACACATTTTCATGTTTTGATTTTGTGTTTCAATTTTTTACTCCCAAAAAAACAAAAACACAAAAAATAAGAGATTCATTAATGGTATTATCGTAATTATTTGAAAATAAAAAAGTAAATTATGTCAATCTCAATTATAAGCTGTATTGTTCTTGTAGCCGCACAATATGTTCTTTTGGTTTTTGGTTTTCTATGTGATTGATAACTTTTTCTTTTCCTTTCTTTTCTTTTGCTTTAAAATCACGTTCAGGAAACAAATCATACCAAACTATTTTTTTTTGTTTTTTAACTTTTAAAATTATTTTCAAAATAATGTTATCAAATGAATTCTTTTCATTTTTATTCTACAAAATAGTTTTTAAAATTTATTTTATAAAATAATTTTAAGAACAAAAAATCCAAAACACAATCAAATTGATTCTTGGTTTGACTTTCATAAACAGAGGCGTTTTGAACATCCGGTTCAAACATGAGTTAGAACTAAACGAAGTTTCACATCCTCGTTGTTTTTTATTACTTAACTTGCAGGCTTTCCTAACGAGAACAAACAACCTCTGATCAAGCTCAAATTTGTTACAGTGAGAGATATCTCCCTTCAGCATCATCAGTAGCCCACCAAATGAAATATTTATCTCCCAACAATCCAAAGCAAATTAAAAATCAGATGACCATCGGGCCAAAGGAAAAAGAAAAAATCCTTAAAATAAACTATAACATCAAATTATTATCTCATGATCACGGGCTATTTGACCTTTTTGTCCCTTATTAATTAATTAATAACTATTTTTTTCTTTATTCAGACCTATCTACTAATCTACCTCTCTTTAATCGAGTAACTTGAAAATTTAATCAATTAAATAGTCAAAACTGGAAGAAAGTGATTGACTTAAAGATTTAATCGTTTAAATCTTCAAGTTAATTGATTAAATCTCTCTCTTAATTTATTTAATCGATTAAAACTAATATTTAATCGATTAAATATCCCAAATGAGCGTGAAAACATTGATACCAACTCGTAAAATGGCAACTCTTAATTAAACGCAATCAGCTCTTATTAAATACAAAACACAATCAACTCCTATTATTAAATACAAAATACAATCAGCTCCTATTAAATACAAAACGCAATCAGCTCCAATTAAATACAAAACGCAATCAGCTCCTATCAAATCGCAACAGGCAACTCAGGTCAAATCTCCTCCATAAACAAAAGGAGTTGATTGCGAATCTTGAATTTAATGTAATACTTAGCAGAATCTTCATTCAGTTTTCTGTGTCTTGGATGTTATTTGAATTTTTAATTTAATGTAATAGGAATTGATTGCGATTTGTAATTAATAGGAACTGATTGCGTTTTGTATTTAATAGGATGTGATTGTGTTTTGTATTTAATAGGAGCTAATTGCATTTTGTATTTAATATAAAGTGATTGTGTTTTGTATTTAATAATAGGAGTTGATTGTGTTTTATATTTAATAAAAGTTGATTGCGTTTTATTAAGAGTTGCCATTTTACGAGTTGGTATCAACGCTTTCACGCTATATATTTTGAGAGATTTAATCGATTAACTTGAAGATTTAATCGATTAAATCTTCAAGTCAACCATTTTTTCCAGTTTTGACCATTTAATTGATTAAATCTTCAAGTTAATCGATTAAAAAGGGGTAGATTGGTAGATAGTTCTGAGTAAGGGACAAAATAATTATTAATTAATTAATAAAGAGAAAAAGGTCAAAAAGCCAATCATCACGGTCATATTTAAACTAGGGTATTGCTTTTTGGAAACAACATCAGCAGATGGGGACAAACTAAGGTACTGCTTTTTGGAAACAACTTTCATAGATGGGTACTATAGAACTACACTTATACCTGAAACATTCACATGCATATGATCAATCATTATCTCATGATCACTTTTCATTTTTTATTAGTGAGCCACTACTTGCAAACAACATGCACCGATCGATTGGTACCATACAAGCTATATAAATGGACTCATTCATTCATGCTAATGATCAATTCATAACAACTTCATGGGACATCGATCAATGTGCCATGTTTTTTCCAAAAAAAATTGCTCCAATGCCACACAATTGAGACAATTTTTCAGACTACCACACCTCCAATCTCGTTACAACTAACGACGAGTTTGGTTATGCCACATGTCACGTTTTCATTAGCGTGCCAAACTCACTCTCGGTGGCAACGAGAATAGACTGCCAAGTGGCAAAACAAGTCAACTCATTTTAGGAAAGCTATAACTCCCGGCTCAGGTTTCCGAATTGGGTGATTTTTGTTTTAATTCCACGTAACTTTACGTGATCCATGCATTGGAAGGATTATTTTTTATTGTTGGCACGTAAAAAAAAAATTTAAATAATGTAACACATAGGCAAAATATGTCCAACGGGACACAAGAAAGCAATTTTTGGGAAAAGAAATTGACCAAATCCCCTTCGGCTATTTCCCAACGCGTAGATCTCTAAAAGTTTTTTGAATAAAAAAAAATCTAATTCGAACATTCGAGCCAAAAGTTATGGCCTTCCGAAGTTTTATGATAAAAATATAAGATTTTATTCCATGTGTCACGAAAGCATAGGCTACAAAAGTCGTTGTCAGTGGTTGCGAGTTTAGTAACCTATAATTTCGTGACACATAGAATGCTTTCACAAGAAAAAGGCTGACTGCATTGACAATCATACTCGCTGCAACTGACAGCGAGTTTGGTGGCATCAGGCAACGTGCCATGTCATAACCAAACTTGCTACTAGTTGTAATGAGTTTGGACGCGTGCCACTCTGGAAAATTGTTTCAATCGCGTGGTATTCAAGCAAATTTTTTTAAAAAAGCGTGGCACATTCTTCCATGTCCCGAAATTCATATCCTAAGGTAGAGGAGAAACTAGCCTCTAAATGTCTAATCAGCAAGATATGCATGTTATACAGAAATTATATTAATTATTAACAACAATTCCTTTGGCTCTTTGACCAATCGAGGTTTGTTAAGATTTTAATTTATCAAATTAGTATTTCATTTAAAGTATTTACGAATGGGGGTTATTTAGTGACGCGAGAGGGACTCAGCATCACTGAGTGCCGCTACCCTCCCCCTGCGTCACTCATATTTTTTTATTTTACTTTTATATTTTTCGATTGAGTGTCGCCCCCTCCCCTGGGCACTCACAGGATTGTGCCAAGTGGCACAATCTCGTTATTCGTGTTACCGTAAAACTTCAGAAGGCCACAACTTTTGGCTTGGGTATCCAAATCAAATGATTTTTTTTTCATTTCACATAACTTTTTGAAATCTACGCAATGACACCTCATTTGACCTATTTTATCTTCCATTAACATAGTTCAAATTTGCAAAAATAATTTAACTTTTTTACAAATTTGAACTATGTTTGTGAGAGACAAAATATGTCAAATGTGATGTCATTGCGTAGATCTCGAAAAGTTATGTGAAATAAAAAAAATCATTTGACTTGAATACCCAAGTCAAAAATTATATCCTTCCGAAGTTTTACGGTAACACGAATAACGAGATTGTGCCACTTGGCACAATCCTGTGAGTGCCCCAAGGGAGGGGGGCAGCACTCAATTAAAAAAGATAAAAAATAAATAAAAGAATGTGAGTGATGCAGGGGGAGAGTAGCGGCACTCAGTGATGCTGGGTTCCCCTCGTGTCCTTAAATAACCCTTAAATACTTTAAATCAAATACCAAATTGATAAATTATGTATTTCTTTAATATTGGAAAATGTTAATGTAGTTCTTCACTAATTAAAAAATTGACTTTAAAAAAAGTACAGAGATTTTTTTTTTTTTTGGTAAAAATGGAGGGCCTAGCCCAGAAATACTATATAGAAAGCTTAAGCATGTTCACAGAAACATGCTCCAACAAAAATTCTTTACAAAGCTCATTCCAAAAAGGAAGAATACTAGTGGGAGGAGAGTGAAAAAACACCAACTCTCCTTCCCTACTATTGAAACCTAATTTAGCTAAACTGTCAGCACAGCAATTCAAATGCCTTGGAATAAATTCCAGTTTAACTTGGTCGAAACCATGGATCTCTTTTAACAGTCTCTGCACCAAGGGGGAGGATGAAATCAGACCAGCCTTAGGATCACAGCAAAGAAGTGCTTCTTTGCTGTCACTGCCTAGCCACACATTTGAGAGCTGCAAATCAACAGCAAGTTTGAGTCCATGAAAGATTGCCCATAATTCTGCTTCCAAAATGGTGCAGGAACCAATGTTGAATGCGAAACCCCCTAGCCAAACTCCACTAGTTGTGCAGATGACTCCACCACAAGCACCAATTCTGGAAAAAATATTGACAGCACCATCAACATAAACTTTGATTCCTTCCATCTCAGCTAGATGAGCTGGACCTCCCAGGGCTGAAACAGGCACAGAGTTATCAACTATGAACGGATCAACACCAGAAGTCAGTTTCATTTCCTTCAAGTAACACAGAATCCTAAACACAGGATTATTTGGCCAGGAGAAAGAAGTGTCATGGACCACAGCATTCCTCCATTGCCAAAGGAACCAAATAGAAACATAAAAAATTTCTTGCCAAGAATTCCAAGCCTTAGAAGAGAAGGGCTTAACAATGTTAAGCCTAAACCAATCAAGCCCTTCTGCAGAATTAAATGAGTTAGGAATACTTCCTTCAAACCACACCTCCCACACACTCCTAGCACCTTTGCAGTCTCTAAGCAGTATGCATCACTGACTCTGGATGGGATAAACAGATAGGGCATAAAATTTCTCCTCCACTCCAATGACAAGTGATACTTCTAACAGGAACCTTATTCAAGCAAGCTAACCATAGGAACACAGCAATCCTATAGGGGCCTCTCCATTTCCACAGCTTAGACCAAATCTGATCCTTACTAATGTTGAGGTCAAAACTTTGACAGTAGGCATTTCGAACAAGGGATTTACTTGGGCAGCTTCTTCTCCAAACAAGCCAATCTTCTGCATTAACAGGAGCAGGTGGACAAATATCACACAGTCTATACAGAGTGGCTTCATCTAGGTACTTCTCCATCAGTTTCCAATTTCCCATTACCTAGCATCCAGGTTAAGTTCATAGATAATTTTTCTCTGGCTATGCAAATGTTCTTCCACAGGGGAGAATCGCTTGTTTTAGCTAAAAACTTTCTACTTGGATCCTGACTTCTACCATATTTACCAAAAAGAACCTTGGCCCAAAGGCTCTCTTGATCACTTGTGAGCTGCCAAGCAATTTTCTGCATGAATGCCTCATTTTGGGTTCTGAGGTTGATGATACCAAGTCCTCCACACTCCCTTGGCAGGCACATCTGGTCCCAAGCCACATAGTGAGCTCTCCTCTTATCCTCAGAATCACCCCAAATGAAGCAACGCTGGATTTTCTCAATCTCTTTACACACATGAACAGGGAGCATACTATTTTGCATATGGTATACAGGAATAGCAGAAATGACACTCTTGGCTAGAGTAATTCTGCCAGCCAAGGACAAGCATTTGGACTTCTAGCTTTGGAGTCTATTTTGAACTCTAGTAATAACATCTGCATAGTGATCTCTCTTGGCTCTCCCATGCCTCATAAGGGCTCCCAAATAACGACCAACATTCTTAACTTTCTTAAATCCACTAACCCTAGTAATTAATTCTTCTGCTTCCTGTCCTACATTCTTAGAAAAGAAGATGCAGGATTTCTCCAAGCTAACACTCTGGCCAGACATATTAGCAAATTTCTCGAAACAGCCAGTTATGCACTCCAATTGACTGCTAGAAGCCTCTGCAAAGAGAACAATGTCATCTACAAAGAGCAAGTGTGAAACAAAGGGACCATTTCTGCCAGCTCTAATAGGAAGCCACTTCTTATTCCCCACCTCATCCAATATCAAATGTGTGAGTTTCTCCATACAGAGAACAAAAAGGTAAGGGGATAGGGGATCCCCTTGCCTTATACCCCTCTGCGAATAAAACCCAGGAGTTCTAGCCCCATTCCATAGCACTTCAAAGTAAGGACATGTTACACATCCCATAATAGCATCAGTGAAGTCACCAGGCAGCTTCAAGTCTTCCAATACAGATTTGATAAACCTCCAATCAAGCTTATCATAAGCTTTCTCCAAATCAATCTTCAGTGAGAAGAAACTTTTCTTCCATTCATCCTGTGCATAGCATGGATAAGTTCCTGAACTATGATAATATTATCCTGAATGTGTCTTTTAGGGACAAAACTGACCTGATTAGGTGAAATGAGGTCACCTAGGAGAGGTTTTAATTTATTTGCCAGGATCTTACTCAAACCTTTGTAGATAGAATTGCATAGAGCAATAGGTCTAAACTGTTTCATCGAGCAGGGCCTATCTACCTTAGGAATGAGGGCAATCAGAGTGTGATTAATCTCCCTTATCTGATCTGGATGCTGCAGATAAAACTTCATACAACCAATGATCTGATGTCTTAGCAACCCCCAATTTTTATGAAAAAACAAGGCAGGAAACCCATCTGGCCCTGGAGCTCTCAAAGAAGGCATTTGGAAAAAGGCCTTCTTGATCTCCTCATCAGTAATCTCTAAGGATAGAAGCAGCTTCTGGTCCAAACTGATAACAGGCCAAGTGGAACAGGTTTGAAACCCGCTTGACATAGACCTCTCCTCCTTGAACAGATTCTGAAAGTAGTCTCTGGCTAACTCAATCAGATCTTCCTCACCAGTCACCCAACCTCCACAATTATTTTGAAGCTTAATGACCTTATTTTTTTCCTACGGATTAAAGTACTTGTGTGATAGAAACGGGTATTCCTATCTCCATCCTTAATCCAATCATCCCTTGATTTCTGAAACCAGATTTGCTCTTCATGGTCCAGGATCTCAGCTAGCTCTTTTCTCAATTTGCCCTCCAGGTCTTCTAAATGACTATGCCATGTAGAATTAGACATCCTTTGAATACCCTCCAGCCTAGCAGTCACCCTATTTCTCCTATGCTCAATGAATCCAAACACTTCCCTGTTCCAAACCTTCACCTGAGGAATAAGAGATTGCAGACTATCTTAAAGCTTAGAAGTAGAATCCCAGTTAGTATTTAGAAATAGGCTAAACCTTGGATCCTTCTGCCAAGCAGCAAGAAACCTGAAAGGTCTCTCCCTCCAAGCTGACTCAACTACCTCCAATCGGATTAACACAGGACAATGATCAGAGAACATCCTAGGAAGGTCACCACATCAGCTAGATCAAAACAATTTCTCCACAGCTCATTAGCAACAGCACGATCCAGCCTTTTAAAAATCCTTTTCAAGTGAAGAAACTTGGGCCCTTTCCATGTAAACCTGTTACCTTCTCCCCCTAAATCCATAACACCACATGAGTTCAACACATTGTTAAATCTGTTACACCTTCTAAGATCAACTGGAGCACCTCCTCTTTTTTCAGAAGCAAAAGCTATCTCATTAAAATCACCTGACATCATCCAGGGATCATTCATGTTCCTACCAAGGTGTTTCAAATCTTCCCAAAGAAAAAACCTCCTATCCTCTTTTGGACTAGCATACACAGCAGTCCAATAAAAACCTCTCTTGCCTGGAAATTCCACCCAAACATGAACAAACTGGTCATCTTTCCTAATCAAAGAAATATGTACATCCAAAGGATCCCATAAGATCCATATGCCTCCAGCAAAGCCTTTAGCATCAGAGATAATGTAATTAGTAAAGCCAAGCCTCCTAATTATATTAACAGCCTTATTACCACTCACCCTTGGCTCCAAAATAGCAGCCACTCCAACCCCATATTTTTTCCTAAACCTGTTAAAGGTGCTCTTGAACTTATTAGTTACAGCACCTCTACAATTCCATGTCAATATATTCATAAGGATAGGTTAGGATGATGCAAGATTCCTAAGTTCTTGCTACTTTCCCCAACAGTACTAGGTTCAGCATCCTGATTATCTTGACTACTCTCTTCTATAATAACATCAGAATTCACACAATTCAAAACTAAATCCGAAGAGGAAATAGCCTGGTCAACCTCCATACCTGATTGAGTTCCAATCTTACTAGTAGTCACACTCAAAACAACATCAGGAGGGTCTAGGTCCTTCAAAGTAATCTCCTCAAGCAACAAGGTTGAGTGCCTTAGAGCTTCTGTTTGGTTAGAGTCAGGCTTCACCAAAGATGCATCCACTGCCATCATCGAATCTCCCCATAGCTTTCCTTTCTGCATCTCCACAGGACCCTGAGAATAATCCATAATAGGCTCCCTCAGGTATGAGCTGCTACTGTCTGCTACAGCAGGAGCTATAGGTTGGGTTACCCCCTTGCCCTTAACTGCATAAGCCTTGAAAGACAACTTCCTACTGCTAGCCACCGAAGGCTTTGATCCAACAGGTTTCCTAACTGGCATAGCTGCCTTTGCTGAGAACTTCATTCCCTGGTCTTGAATCAAAGTCTCACTCTCCAAGGAAAGATTTTCCTTATTCACCAAACTGATAGGATGCACCACAGTAGGCACATTAACTGGCATACTCTTCTGAGAATTGATCACTGACACACCTTTCTTAGTAGTTACCTTAGAGTTCTTGTTGGATAAATCCTCCCCAAAAGATCTATTAGAGCTTACTTCGGCCTTCTTGGTGCCCTGACCACCTTTCTTCCTACGTTGCACCACCATCCACGGTCCTACCCCTTGCACCCCAGAAATATCAACTGGCTGTTCAGGAACTGGAACAAGGTTTGCCATAGGGACTGGTTTAGCAAAGTCAGGGCATGAGTCCGAATTGTGACCATAACGACCACATCTCAAGCATATCAGGAACAGCCCCTCATATTCTACCTTCTTCAGACATCCATCCAAAACATACTCTCCTCTCAGAGGTTTAGCCAAATCAATTTCAATACACACCCTAGCAAATCGTGCCCGATCACCAGTTGAAGTAGTCTTGTCCACTTTTACGACTTTACCAATTATTGTCCCTAATTGACTGAGGAAAGGATACTCACAGTACTCTTGAGGAATTCCCGGAAGTCTTACCCAGGCAGCTACCTTATGGATGTTAGCCTGTTCTGGATCAAAACATGGCTCCCACTTCCTAGTAGCTAGATAATGCCCAAAGATTACCCACGGTCCTCCAGTGATGGCCAAGTTTAAATCCTCCAAGCTAGTGAATCGCACGGAAAAAAACTCATTCCCTAAATCAGCGACAGTGATGCTACCTGCCCTTGCCCAGAATGATTCCGACTTCTTCTTCATGAATCCTACCCCAATTTTCTTGCCAAGGAGCTTCACAATCAGGACATTCTTCCAGCGCTGCCTCATACGAGCTTTCGCTTCCTTATTACTCCTGATCTCTACCGATCCGTCCTCCCTCACAATTGTTTGAAAGCCCATTCAGAAATCGCCCCTAGATTCGGATCCAGAGGCTCCTCCTCAGGCTCCTCCTCCTCAGTTAGCCATGGAGTGGCCTCTCCCAACACCCCGTGCTCCATCCCAGTGACTTCAGCAAATGATCGCGGCTTCGCAGACCCAGCCTCTCCCTTCTGGAATTCCTTGATCGAGACTCGCATACGATCTACGATTGGAATCTCATCACCACTTTTGGTACGCTTAGTACTTCGTCTTATCATGGACAAAGTCTCGTTCCTAATCTCCATTAGATCTCCCATGGCACCAGCAAAAATCAACGAAGAAAAACCTTAACAGAAAGAAAGTTTTCGCGCGCGTGAAGGAAACGCGCCTAACCCATAGCTTTTTTTGTTGTAAAATACAGAGATTAAGCTACTTCATATTTATGGGGGAACATATTTTTGAGACCGAAGCCAAATAACATATATCAGCAAAAATTAAATATAGACATCAGAAGATGCAACTCATGAAAAATATGATGGACCGAGCAAACTGTGTATTAAACAACCAAGCAATCTTGCTTCTTATCGCCCTCATAATGAAGTTAAATTAAGAAGTAGTGTCAGGTTGTCATCTAATCATCAAGATCCATGCAATAATACTTACTCTACCACAGACTTTGTAAATAAAACATTGATCCACAATTCCTGAATTACACATATCAACTGTGCCACACCTTCCCAGCAAATAATTTTGGTAGAAAACAAACAAACCATTCTTGCTGCATCATGCACATGTTCCTTTACCTTTGATCCTCCTAATGATTTAAACTCGAAGAACTAAACCTCACAACCATAGAAGGGCAATCTTAAAAACAACAGTTAAATAAACAAAAATTGGCATACACCAGAAGCTTTTATTAGAATATACTGTAAGAAGGTAAAAGAGAGAGACAATAATGATCAAAATTATGAAAAGAGAAATGAGAGGAAAATTGATATTATTGATTGGGTAATTCATTTGGGAGGCTCTTATATAGAAGAGTATAAGGAGAAAAAAGAAAGATTTAAAATATTTTAATTAAAATAAAATAAAATTATTAATTAGGTAATTCATTTGTACATATACGAAGCTGATAGAAGAATATAAAAAGAAAATAGGAAGATCTAAAATATTTCAATTAAAATAATATAATAAAATGGATTTTTTATTTGTCATTTTAAATTACATAAGTTATATCATTTTAAGAGAGAGATAGACGCAGAAAATGAAAATCATGGGAGATAGAAAGTGGGTGATTTTTTTTTTAGTTTAAAATTTAAATAAAAAAATTTATTCTGTGTCTATCTCTCTCAATGAGATAACTTTATCTCACGTAAAATCACAAACACTTCTTCCTAATAAAATACATAGAAATAACAAGAAGAAGAATACCTTTGTCAAATAATATTTTGTCGTCTGGGTTTAGATTTTCGACTCTGAAGATATCGTCGAAGAGAGAACCTCCTCCATCGTAAGGGTTCCACTCTGAAACACAACAACTGTATACATAGACCCGACGAAAAACACTTAATATCAAGTTTGGTCTGGTGAAGTGAGGTGCATCTGTATTCAGTGCACCCTATTGATTTCTATCTGCCACGTGGCAAGAGTATAAAGACTCGGGCTCCGGGAAAAAAAAAACACACCGACTATTTTCACCGAATCGGATGCTCCACGAGATTTTGTTTATTCATTTGCGGACATAACATTACATTCTTGGATATGCCTATCATGGCTTCCTCTCCCTTCTCTCTGCTTCTTCCACTTGGTAAGTCATAATAACCCTTTTTCTCAATTTGCTTCCTTAAACTTGTCAAACTTGCTATTGTTTCGTTCACACCACAACCTTAAATGTTTTAACATTTTTATGTTCCCTTCACTTTACATTCAGCCATTATCACTGGCCCAGCTTCCTTTCCTCAATTTTACTGTTTTCTAAACATTGTGTTCTTTTGGGTAGGTTCTACTTGTGGTAAAAGTCTGTGTTTTACTCCTCCTCAAGGCATTTCGGTTGAGAAACTTGGAAGATTAGTTGTTAAAGTGAAGTCCTCAGAGACAAAGGAATGCAGTGCTATGTTTAACAGTAATTCACGTAGAGAGTTTCTTTGGTTAGCTTTAGGAGTATCTGGCCTCTTCAACCATTCATTGGATGCCAAAGGAGCGGGTTTGCCCCCTGAGGAAAAGCCAAAACTATGTGATGACACTTGTGAGAAAGAGCTTGAAAATGTATGGTGAGATTACATAGTACCCTTTCTTTGTTTTTCTCCACTAAAAAATAACTGGTGATTACTTTTACATTGCTAAAAATGCATTCACATTTCATGCAGTTGCATCACCCTTTATCTTACTAATTAATGTAATCTGAAAGGTGAATGATATGCGAAGGAAAAAGGAAAAAGGAAAAAGGAAAAAGTTCACAAATGCTTTCTAGTTTACTCCAAAATCATCTATTCCCTGTAATTTTTTTTATCACATATGCTCCTATGATTTACAAAAGAATATGTTTTTTATCACATATATCCCTATGATTTTTTATTTTTTACAAACCACAGGAGTATATGTGACCAAAAAAAAATCACAGCAACATAAATGATTCTGAAACAAACCATAGGGGCATTGGGAAAAAATATTTCATTTAAATCTTACGAACTTGAAACGTCATTATATTGCAGAAGATGTTATAACAATTTCATTGAATTTTCTAGCCTTAAAAGTTAAAATGTTTAAAGAGATTCGACATGAAAGAACTTCCAGAATAAGGTTCTTTGCGAATTGTATAGCTAGTCTTATTGAGGATCATAAGAAAACTCATCATATGCTGGCTGTCACTTCATTTCCCGAAAATCCCTGACAGTGAAGCTTTGCTCACTTGCTGAAATTTAAGAACTAATATACTCGTGCAGTGTCTAATCTACACAAGTATCTTTCCAGATAACAAAATCTAATGTTCTAACAAGAATGAGAAGAGATTCGTATGGTTTTTCACAGATATTGTATCTCGTTCAAATGTGCGACATGTAATACAGAATCTGTTATCGTTAGAAATAGTTAATCAATGTGACAGCACTTAATTTGAAAAGGTACATATTTTTAAGAACTTTTGATTGACCATCAATGAATGGTAGTGGAATGGATTTTACTTTACTAAAACTTTAATATCCATAGTTAATGACTGATGCTCTCTTTGAATATTTTATGCAATGTAGGTGCCTATGGTAACTACTGAATCAGGTTTGCAATACAAGGATATTAAGGTTGGGAAAGGCCCTAGTCCACCAGTTGGATTTCAGGTGTGTAAAGTCTTCTGACTTGTTCAGGTTCTCTTGTATGCTTGTCACGGCCTTTCAAAGAGGCAGCCAATGCCAATTTTGAACCAGATCAATGCCTAATTACTTAAGTTGTATCTTGAGAACAACTGAATTTTTTCCCTAGGAAATGGTCTGGTCATTTATTTATTTTCATCTTCTAGGTAGAAAAAAATACTGTACAAATACTGGTGATGTCATTACCTGGTATGGGTTTGCCTTTACTAAGTTCTTGAAGATAGCAAATGTCTCTGCAGATTGTAACATCCCCAGCCTCGAGCCGGTTCAATTAACATACATATGATACTTAACAGAAACAATGGAAAACTTAAACTTATGAAAATACGAGCTAACTTTTTCTTTTTCTCATTAGGCGTAAACGAAAATCGAACAGAGTAACCTCTGTAAGTCGGAAAACTGGGGATTTTCCAATCCCACTCTCAAGAGTTCCTGACAGACAGTTTAAACTATATATATATCCAGAAGTACTAGTCATGCAAATATACTCGGATACCCATCTATGGGCGCATGCAGAACTTGGCTCCGTGCCACTAATCTAATAGTATGCAATCCAATACATAACATAACTGAATACTACATAGTCATATCAACATGCCTGAATACATAAATATACATGCATCGAATATGAACACTATACAACAATACATCTTTTCCAAAAATACGTCTACAATAAATAGTAGCCTCCAGCCACCCAGAATTCCACATCCTCATACTAGTACCTCCAGCCACGGTTTGTGTCCTTGTCCCATGAGGCTCTTCAATTAACTGTGTTCCTGAAATCATATCCCCAAACGGGGTTAGAGACGAATATCTAGTAAACTCCAGGTTTATGGAAAACTCTCCATACCCTGGGCTCACTTCCTGCATGACAGTCAGATACATAATATACAAAACATCATATAAGAAATTATCATAACTGTACAAAGCATATATACATATCTTATCAAAGACATACGCAGTCATTCCCAAGGGATGACCCCAAGCGGAAATCAACGTACGTAACATATCATTTACAAAAATCATCACAATACTCACATCAGAACAAAACGTGTTATATCAGAGACGTACGCAATCGTTCCCAAGGGATGACCCCAAGCGGAAATCAACGTACGTAACAAATATCATTTACAAAATCATCATACATATCACATAAAACATGTCATATAATCAATTATCATAACTAAACAAAACATATACACATATCTTATCAGAGACGTACGCAGTTATTCCCGAGGGAGGACCCCAAGCGGAAATCAACGCACGTGTTCCCAAGGGAGGACCCCAAGCAGAACCAGAACATATCAGAGGCGTACGCAGTCATTCCCAAGGGAGGACCCCAAGCGGAAATCAACGCATGTGTTCCCAAGGGAGGACCCCAAGCGTAACCAGAACATATCAGAGGCGTACGCAGTCATTCCCAAGAGAGGGCCCCAAGCAGAAATCAACGCACGTGTTCCCAAGGGAGGACCCCAAGCGGAACCAGAACATATCAGAGGCGTACACCGTCAATCTCAGGGGAACCCAAGAAGACATCAGTGTACCATACAAGTCAATTCCAGCCAAAGATCAATACAGAAATCATATCAGAACAAGTCATATAACAAATGTGTACACAGTTAATCCCAGGGGAGGACCCCAAGTGGGAATCAGTGTACGTGTTCCCAAGGGTGGACCCCAAGCGGAACTCAACAAAACATATCATATTAACACATCAAAGTAAACACATCAAAACAAAACATATCATATTATCATATAGCTCTATATGAATGCATCTATATCATATATCTCATACATATCATACAACCCGACCACAGTCCGTACACTATGGCGGAACACAAGGTAGGAGCGAACCCCATAAACACAGAGCTTACCTTTTGAAGCTTTACCAATTTGCTCACTTGTAACACAAGTTACCTATTTAGCTCCAAAGGAATCCAAACACGCTCAGTCCCTAGGCACACCTAGAGAAAGAATTCAAAACAAAATCAATAAAATGTTACAATGCCATGAAATTTATACAAGGCATATATCTTATTGCTCACTTTCGTTTCCTCACATTATGTCAATCATATGCCAATTCACAAGTCAAAAACATGCCTTAATCATTTCCTTTAATAACACAAGGTTCCTAAGTTGATTATGTATTCCCTTTAACCAATTTAAGCACAACTTAGGTATATTTTCTTTCAAAAGGCCGTGGGGTTCACTTTAAGGCAATAAAAATACCTTTTACAATTTCTCAAATCATTTCACTAAATATTTTTACCAATTTCTTGCATTGGAAACTCAACACACCATCCAATTAGTTTTTAACATAATTATCCCTAAATAGACCCAAAAGGCCGAAATGCATAGGGTAGGTTTTCAAGGGATTTTCCACCATGTAATCTCACTTCCACATATAATCTCAACATACACCAACCTACTAACCTTTACATTACATGCAATTAAATTTTTACACAACAGACCCTAATTAACCCATTATGGCTGAAATCTAAGTAGTGGCCTAGGGAATTTTTTTTCAATTTTCCAACTCATTATCATGCTTATTTAACACTATAACTTCATTAACAACACTAATTCATCATCAATTTCAAATTCAACACAAAATTATTTTCCACCAAAATATGCTCACAATTATCAAGACTTAAATCACAAACATAACACCATAGAACTAGAGGTTTCTTACCTATAGTTGCTATTCCAAGCTCCAAAGAACAAAACCTAAGCTTTGCTCACTCAAAAACCCCACTTTTTCACAAGGATGAATAGTGCCACGAATTGGGGGTGATGAATAACTCTCTCCACAAGCCAAATCAGCCCAAATGGAGTGGTGGAATAGATTCACTAGCCTTTTTACTTAAAGATTCATGTATGGCATCATGGCTTTTGGTGGCAAAATGAGTGGAAATGAGAAGAAACCCTAAGCTTCCATGGAGAAGAAAGACACAGGGCACTCACGGGAATGGAAGGAGAAATAACGGGGTGCTACGGTGTCCAAAAAATTAAATAGGCCAAGTTACTTTAACTGGGTAATAGCTTATCTATCTACACACCTCCATTCATTACCAAACTTTACCCAGTAGACTAGAATATTTTTCTAGTCATATTTCTAACTTTACTTTCACTTTTTGGATAACTTTGTTTACCCGCATTTTTATCCCTTACTGTCATTTTAACTCCTTTTTCACCAAAGGTAACTTTATTTCTTTTACTTCTAATTATTCTTCAATATTAAATCCACAATTACTAGTGATGGTTATTATACAGATGTAATGTGCCCTTGGTTGTTTCCATTTTCATCAAAATTAACCCTTCAAAGGCAACATATAACTTTCTCGAGTACTTGAACCACAGTAGGCGTATCTAAAAGAATGCTTTCCTATGAAAGGAAGCAGCTGCATTCATTCCACAACTACATAGTGGGCCAAGCTTCATCACAATGGCATACTTTTTTGGCCAGTCAATGACCTCTATACCACCTGCTTTTTGAACTAGCTAAAGTTTGAAATGATCTTATCAAAAGATTTAAGTATCTTCACTTTTTTAACCTTGAATAAACTGAAAAGATTACTTTTGTCTGGAGTAGTGTTTAAGTCCTCCGTCAGCATGTGATATTGTCCTCAATATACCAAGACTGGCTTCATTTCCATGTGCCTCTCTGACTACGCTATTGTTAATACCTAATGTAATGTAATTACAGGTTGCCGCTAATTATGTTGCAATGGTTCCATCTGGACAAATATTTGATAGGTAACCTGCCAAATACAATATTCTATCACTCTCTCCTCGGTCCATGAATTACAATTTACAAGATGTGGAGTGATGTTTGTTGTTGTGTATACTTGATGAGTTTTGTTTGAATGTACAGAATTGTACAACCATGCCTAATCAGGTGTTGGACATCTAAGTATGATATAAACACAATTTTCAATCGGCCATGTTTGACAAACAACAAATACTATTGGATTATTTTGGTGTTTTATAGTGTCCATTCCTCTCTTTTTTCAGTTTTCTTGTCACTTTCCAATTTTGGTTTTGAAGATGCTCTTCTTTGAACCCTTGATTACAATGCTCAATTATATATATGCACTTTGCTGAGAATGAATTTGAAGCTTGTGGTTATGACCTAGACAAAGGTTCATTATGTGTTGCTCTTTTCCCCCCTTTTCAAATGTACAGTTCATTGGAGAAAGGTCAGCTTTACATTTTTCGCGTTGGTTCTGGTCAGGTAAACTCTGGATATTGCTTTTAGTGTTTTTAAGCTTAGTAGTTTGTTTACCTTCGTCATTGTTGTCAAGCTTGAAAAACAGTAGTTTTGGGGGGCCAAAGTGTTTGATAATTCTTTTAAAGATTAACTGATATTCAACCCAATGAGTATAACAGGTAATAAAGGGACTTGATGAAGGTATTCTAAGCATGAAAATAGGAGGGAAGCGTCGACTGTACATACCTGGATCTGTAAGTTTCTGTCTTAATAGTTGATACTAGATTCCATTCCACCCTACCTTACCTGTAGGGCTGTAACATCTCCCATCATAGCAAGACATTCAAAATCTTGAACTGAAATTTGGGTCTTTCTCCCTATGAAGAAGCTAGTGTTTAACTTTTTTCAATACTAGACTTTCATATTCCTAGTTTCTCAGTATTTCCTAGTTTCTTACTGGCTATGGGCATACATGCTTGAAATGTGCATTGACCACAAAATGGTGACAATATAAAAGGAAGCGCATGCTAATGAAATGCTGATAATTTTCTTTACTAATTTGATTCATCCTCACAAAATGTTGGCTGTATATATTTGTTGTTTTTATTTGGCAGTTGGCATTCCCAAAAGGCCTTACTTCTGCTCCAGGAAGACCAAGGGTGGCTCCAAGCAGTCCAGTCATATTTGATGTTAGTTTGGAATATATCCCGGGGCTTGAAGTGGATGACGAATAAAATTAGACTGTGCATTCTATCTAGATTGTACGCATTCAACCCTAATTTTTAATTATAACTATTTTATACAATTATTAATTCTTTTGAGAGAAAAAAAAAACTTAAAATCTTATAGCTATGCAGAGTAACATTGTTTGATGTTCAAAATATCAAGAGAATCTTTCTTGCATATGTGTTTTATATCTAAAGGGCTAGTGAACCTTCTATTGATGGTTTACTGTTGGATTCTCTTCTCTGCGAGAGGAATACGAGATTTTTGTCCCTCTTGGGAGTTTGGTCAAAACGTGGAAATTTCAGCTTCTTTAATAACTGTAGAACAGATAATATATTAACGGTTATGTTGGGAAAGTATGGCATTTCGGTGAGAAATACGTCGTGTTAAATATTTAAATTCATCTATGATATTTTGTATTAACTAGCATTCCCGTACAAGTAATGCTTGTACCAGATCCATTAAAAAATAATAATAATTGCAGACACAAACTGGGTATTGGTTGCCGTTCTGGTAAATATATAAAGTTAATATAACTATCTATCATTTATTTTTGTCTCTCCTTTACAAAATATTACAAGGCAACATACAACTAAAATTGTTAAAAAATTAGTTCATCAACAAAAAGCACCATACACCGAGCAAGAGCGAAGTCTTGGAAAGCGAAAAAAATAAAAATAAAAAATGAAAAGAGAAAAGAGAAAATTGAAGAACTAAATTCAGAAAACCACAATTGCCTGTTTAGCTAGCCAAATGGCTGGGAGAGTTGTTGAACATGCTGTGCCACATAAATGCCCGGGAAAGTACCATCTCGAGTTCCTGGTGAGTCCAGTTCTGAGTTGGAACGTGTTGAAGGAACATTACTAACTCTTGGAAATCAAGCTTCTGGATGTTGTCTGACCACTAAGCAAAAATATATATAAAGAAAATTCACTTTCTACTAAATTAATCATTGCTAAAAACAAGAAGAATGTGTAACTAATCTAAGCAACCGTATGTAAATACAACAGGAAACAAAGAAATGCATGAGTAGATGATGTGCTTCGAAGTGGCTGCAGAGAATCAGGGAATAAAAGTATATCCAGGAATACTAGAATTGCATTTTTCATGAAGTAATTTAAATGCACATTGTAAAACATCTCGTTACACAAGGAAAATCTCTACAAAAGGCACTTATCTTAAATGTTAGAAAGCGATGCAAATGCAAAAGACAAGTTTGTGTTATGGCAAACTGTTACATCCCTATTAACAGTAAGGTGTTGAGTCAGCATGTGGTTAGATATCGAAATAATATTCCCTTTTTCAGTTATAGGTGTGTTTTGTGATAGGGCTAGCAAAATGGTCTCGGTCCGTCGGGGCGGGTCGGGTCAAGTTTTACAACTCACAAACCTGCCTAATCCATTTTTATTTTTTTTTAATGCAAAACGTGTTCAGCCCAGCACGCCGAGTTTTTCAAATCGCTTTCAAAAGGGCCGCTAGCATTGCCACCTGTATTTTGTGAGGTGACGCTAAAATTGCTATATAGAGGGTAGGGAATGGTTGCAAAGGCATCTGGGATATTTTGAGACTTGGGCATTGGGAGAGTCCAGGGGCTCCCTAATTCTCCGGGGTTTATCTTTGCTTTCTGCACTTCTACTATTTTCTCTGTGTAAGATGCCATTGTGAAGTCCACGGGCTCTCTTAACTCTCAATTTTATACTAGTAGTTTCATTTCTTTGTTGTTTCTTTTCCCAAATCTGTTATTTGGATTCTATCACAAACAAAATCGCAAATCAGGCTTAACTTTATCCGGTGATATAATACACAATAAAAATTGACCAACAAATACTATTCCTAATCAGCATGGCTGCAAGATGAATTCTAATTCAAATAGATTATATTAGTGAAAAGGCCAAAAGTAAATCAGCTCACCGTTAGAAGGAAACTGGCAAATATATACACTAGGAAGTCTGGTAAGGCATCTCCTTCAGCTAGATACGTGTCCCAAAGGCGTGTGATGAGATGGAAGGGTATCTAATTATATAATCAGACATCAGCCTTATTGACAGCATAAAATGATCCCAAATTTAACATAGTCCAGTCAGTTACTTTGGCCTTTATCAGTTATATGTATGAAGTTTTTCTTGACAAAAATATCCACTTATAAGGGGGAAAAATGTCAGAGCAAACCTCACGGATTAGAAGACAGTTGAACCAACGGAAAGCAAACTGAAGAAATTCAAGTCCCTGATCCTCCATATGTCGTGAAACAGGCTCTGGTGCAGCTCAAAAGTTCAACTAGGGCACATCAGATTATATTTGAAGATATACAAATAATAACATAGAAACAAAAATAATGAGAAGGTTTGGTAATTAATATACATGAATTCTTTGTCTTCAGCCAGTGCACATAAATAAGACGATGATCAATTTTTTACACTTCCGTGTAAAGCAAATAAGATAATAAGGTTTTCATTGCATCTTTCTTACACAAATAAGATAATAAGGTTTTCATTGCATCTTTCGGAAGATTTTGAATGAAAAGTCTAGTTGAATCTTTCAAGTCCTTGTGGCACCCAAACAGATTATACTTCTTTTTGTAGGAAAACACACCAAATTGAACATTCAGAATTTAAACTACAAATCATAATTAATTACAAACAAACAACAGAACATATACTTGGACACAAGTCTTAGGTTAAAGAACTCCAATAAGAAGAATTTAAGGTGGCAACAGCAGATGCATCATAAACTATGCACTGGGAACCAGAGAAAGTTTTTAAAAGCTCTTTTACATTGGCTATCTAGACACCTATTTCTAGGGCTGAGGGTAGAATGGTAGTGTTCCATGTTATTAAATGTTCTCAGCTTCAAGGGTTCACATTCTTCTCTTTCCCCTAATCAATTGTGCATAATGAGAGTATTTTTACTCTAAAAACTTAAACTAATTATTAATATTTGATGACAGAAACCAGTTTTAAGTATAACATATATCTTCATATTTTATAATAATGCAAGAAAAAACAAACGAGGATGAAGGTTTGTGTGAAACTTGAAATTTGTGTGAAACTTGAAATATTCAACACAAAAATAATATTGCTAATATTAGAATCAATGACACTATTTGAAATTAGAAAATGAAAACTTAAGTATAGGAATGGTACCAAATCAAATAAAAAACGGTGAGGCATTTAAATTCACGGAATTATAGATATGCTTGAAGGAATGAGAAAAAGGTTACCGTCTATCCTCCAGACCAATTCCTTCAACCTGAAAACAAGCCTCTGAATTCCAGGTTGAGCAAATGTGTAATGGTCTTGCATACCATCAAGCAACTTTGACAAGCACCAGTAGCAGTCAGCCTCTATATTAGAGATTTTATCTGAAGATAAATCAGACATTGACCAATTATCTATACCCCCTTCTAAGTATTCTGATAAGAAAACAACTAAAAATGGCGTAACAAGATCATTTATCCCCTGAACATATCCACTTGCAGGATGCCGAATGGCCCTGGCAAAAGATTGGGAAATTATATAAGAAAAATAAAATAAAATATAAAAACAATTTTAGCATGCAAATGTTAGTTAATAACAAGGATAATCAAGAATTAAAGAGCTCCAGAGTATCTATTATGGATAAAGAATGCACCAGTAAAATTGATATCTGCATAATGAACTTCAAATGCTAGAACATAAAGGTCCATTGTGGTTCTATCATGTTTTACCTCTTTTTCTTTTCCTAAGTCATTGCTCTAAAATGCTGCTAAGAAGAAAGCAAAAGTATATATGACTACACGACACCAACTATTCTGAATGTGTAGTACATCTGCATTAGAAGGTAACCATCTTGCTGATTTCTAACAGTGGTACCATTTATAGAAGGGAATATGGGATAATGCCCCTTCCAAGGTCCATCAAGAGTATTGTTCAATACCATAAACGGTTGAAAATTGAAATCACACGTACCAGTTTACTTAAAGGAGATGTAGCAACTTAGCAACTCATTCTAACCTAGAGCAAGAACACTATCTGATAATATTTTTCAGACTACATTGTGTACAGTACCTAAAAAGCAACTAGAAGTCCCACCTTCTAAAACTGGTATGACCTATGAAGTATAGGTACTTCTAAATGGTTGTTGTACCTGTAACGGATATGTTCCAATACCGCTATTTATTGGGTACACATTGGTACATACCCAATACTGAGGAAGTCACACTAAATGACTCTCTTAGCCAAGCTAAGGCCATTTTCACCTCAAAAAAACCATCCATAACAAAAAACACTAAGCTAGGAATAATACCAAGTCAACAAATGGGTAACAATCATTGTTGTTAAAACGTAGTGTCAACTCGTAGAAATGGATGTGTTTACGTTTTTTGGGGCAAAAAACGTGTCGAAACGGTAGTAGAAACTTAAAATGAGCTGACTCGGTTAAAACGTAGTGTCAACTCGTAGAAACAAACAAGTTTACGTTTTTCGGAAGATGTTGAAGAAGATCAAGATCCCCTTGGCTTGGATGATCCAAATGAAGAAGAGGGAAACTTGAATGATTTGGAAATTCCCAAATTTATTGGTGAATTTATCAGTGGGGGAGGGGATGAAGAAGATGATATTGACTTGGACTCCAATGACTTAAATTAGAGATGTTGATCTCTTTTATAATTTTATTACCTTGGTGTTTTGATTTTAATATGTATTATGATGACTAATTTTGAACTTAATTTTTATTTCCTTTAGTGTTTGGACTTAAATTTGTGATGACTTATGTATTGGTGAGTTTTGGTTTTATATATGTAAACTCTTTTATAATTTTTTACTCTTTTATAATTTATTTATTTTTGGTACATAGTAAACTCTTACGTTTCGTTTATGTTTCACGATTTTACGTTTCTGCTCACCCATACCGTTTCTACGTAGACTATGTTTTAACAACCTTGGTAACAACAATATCTAACCATGCATAAAGAATACGCTCCAATGACTTCTGAACTTGCTGTTGCTGGAAGAATGGAACATCAGGTACAGTTCTTGGACAATCAACAGCAATCTAACAAATATACAATGAAAACAGTAAAAAAGAAGAACAATATTTTCACCAATAATCAAGAAAGGAATACATTAGAATTGAGAATACCTGGCGAAGCATGTTGATCTCATCCTCTGAACGTACTGTATCAGGAATATCATAATACTGAGAAATACAGTCAAGATACTCAAGGCGCTTCCTTCTTAGAACTCCCTCCCTTCTATCTGAATTAGGTGGTGCATATCCCTGTTGTCAGTTCATCTTTAAATTTCCAGGAAGACAAAATGCTATCCATAGAAAATATGCATGACAAGAGGTCAACAAGGTAGACCCCATACTCAAATGATTCTCTATAGTATAAATACACTTCAGATTTCTTTTCTAAAATCTTCTGTATATTTTTGCCACAAAACATTTATGTAAGCAAGCAGCGTCAAGATATCTCATGAAAGAATAATCCCTCAGCTCAACCTCAGCAAACAAAAATTTAATTTAAGTCATTACAAAAATAATACATATAAGAATCCACATGTCCTAGCAACTTCTAATATGAACTTCAAAGTTTCTTTTTATCATGCTACATGTGACTGAGAGCTATCATCAGAGAAAGAGAAAGAGCAAGAGAAATAGCTGAAGGTCATAGAGCTTACCAAGAGAAGTCTCCACACTTTAGGACGCATATATTCTGGAACACCACTCCAAGCTAATTCACGCAATTTGTCTACAATATAGATTTCAAGGAGGAAATATTTTACTCTGGGAGACAAACCTAGGTTTCTAAAAGGTTTAACAACTTAAAAAAAATGACAGAGATAAAAAAAATTCAAGCTATATATAATATAATGGACATAGCTTTCTGTTGAAAATTATTTTGAACCTTACTGCTATAAATATCTAAGGGCAAACGAAACCCCATCATGGATATATTCATCTGAGCACACAACCAAGAATTACATAACAATATTTCCATAATTGAATGCAGCCATGTAGGAGTAACAAGGAAGAAGCCAATGAGTGACACAAACGAATCCAGAAAGTTGAAAGTTGAAATACCTACTATAACCACCGTCCCAGAAAGCACCTTAGTGAACTTGATAACTCTTGCAGAATCCGTAGCTCTAGCACCCATGGTAGACTTATGGATTTCTTCAGATGGGCTCTCTCCAGGGGAGGTTGACATTTTTAACTTACTGATATTGGCAATATTAATTGGTTTGTTTGTACTTTGAAACTCCTCCTGTATTAAGAGTAGAAGTCCCACTTGGTAAACTGATGCCTCAGTCTTATAGATACATATAAAAATAAGAGTAAAGCACTTTTGGGTCCTAACAAAAAACATGGTTCACACTTTCGTCCCTTACAAAAAAAAAAATCAACTTTTGGTCCCTCTACAATTCAAGTTCTTTGAAAATGTAGTTCCTCATAAATTCAATGAAGACCCAATTTAGTCCCTAAAAAAAGACTAATATAGTTTTTTTTTTTAAGAGACGAAAGTGGGGGACAGTGTTTTTTGTTAAGGACAGAGTGGCTTTACTCTAAAAATAATATACGATTATGAATACTAAGATCACCTCTACTACCCCAGATGTGTGATCACTTGTACCAGCATCATTGTGTGAGAAGCTCCTTCTGTAATTTAGTGAGGATTCCTTAGAGTTTGAGTTATCTGGTAAGTCTTTCCTCCGGCTCAATAATATTTTACCGGGCATGCTACGACCTTTGAGTAACCTTGAAAAAATAGAGAATATAAATCACTATCAATCATAACTAAGCTAGTAAGCTTTATGCTACGAGTTGTAGGTGAAACTGAATAAAAAATTTAAGAGTAAACACCCTTTTCAGTCCCTGGCAATATCTACGATGTCCTTTTCGGTCCCTGGCAATAAAAAAGGACCAAATTGGTCCCTGAAAGTACAAGAAAAAGGCCACTCTACATATTTGGGAGTTGACATAAGGACTAACATGGCCCTTTTTTTGTAATTTCAGAGACCAATTTGGTCCTTTTTTATTACCAGGGACTAAAAAAGACTTCGTAGATATTGACAGGGACTAAAAAGGGTATTTACTCAAAATTTAAAGGGAAAAAAAAATAACATAATATAGTTCAATTAATCAATCTACTAAAGAAAAAGAAAAGTAAAAAATGAAACTCTAATTCTGCAAATCCTCGTTTCATTGAAATGTCAGAAATCATTTGGTTTTAATTTAACAGCAATCAAATCAATAATCCACCCTAACAATCACTGAGAACCAATTTGAATGCACGGATCATAGAGATCTGAGAGAAGAAAAAAGAGGATTTGGTGGTACAATACCCTTGAACATTTCTGAGGGTCTGACTGAATCTGGAGTCGAGGGTAGCTATGTTACGCTCATCTTCTTGCCCCTGTTTCATGCTTCTTCTTTCCATTCAATCACTCGATTCCACAATATTTGCTTTTGCTTTTGCTTTCAGACACCAAAATTAACATTCGTCTTCATCCATCTATTACCGCCAAAATAACATTCTCATTTCTCAGTTCTTTTTCTTTTCCCACTAATCATGATTACTATTTACTAGTTTTTCTTTTTCTTTATTTTTATTCTGAATAGATAATAAAGCTTAAGATGAAAATAAGCTTTTCTTTTTAGGGAGGATATGATGTCATGTTATCCTCTCATATCATATAATCAACACATAGTGGGTTCTACCATGTATTAAAAAATAAAGGCTAAATTACATCAAACCACCTTTTTTTTTTTTTTTTTTTGATAACAACATCAAACCACCTTTAACTTAAGTGTTTTTATCAAAAACCCACCTTACACTTCCAATTCTAACAATTAACCCCCTTAAACTATAAATTTATAGCAATTAAACATATTTTGTAAATTTAAGACGAAAATAACCTTGTCTTCACCACCACCCCACAAACCAATATGCTGCCAGCCATGTCTTGTCACCACCAGCCACCACCCCTTACCACTGTGCCATCATAGATTTGAATAATAACAGACTATATATTCAAATGGCTGAGGCCTACACCTTTTCTTCTTCGCCTCACTCTCAACCTTCATCGTCATCTCCCGGTAATTTTTTTTATTTTTCGTTTCTTTGTTTTATTTTATTTATTTATTTATTTGTTGTTAACTTAAATCTTTTCCTGTGATGATTTAATCATTCCTTTCACAAGTGCTTTGTTCTTTAATCGTATTGGAATTTATGTGCGCTTTGAAGTTATTCAGAAATTGCATTTCAAAAACTTGCAATTAACGACATGGCAGATGAGGTGAGACTATGGATATTTTCGTCTTAAAAATGATAAATATGTTTAATTATTTCAATGTCAAAGTTTAGTGCGCTGAATTGTTTGAGTTGTAAGTATAAGGTGGTATTTTGAAAGGAAACCTAACTACATGGTGGTTTTATGAAATTTACCCAAAAATAAATAAACAAAAAGCGTTTGTTTATGTATCTATAACATAAGATAACTCTCTCCTATCACGTGAGAGAATAATTTCCCTTTCTTTTATTTATGGGGAAACAATATAATTCCCATTTTTTCAATCACGGAGTATAGTTTTTGCCATTATTTCTCATATTTTAGGAGATAAAATAAAAACATATGGGTCTTAAGTTTTTATTTTTTTTCTTTATATAAATTTAATATACTTTTATTTATGTATATGTAAGAGATAATATTTATTTCCTAAAAAAACATTAATTAATTCAAATAATACCTTTTCGCTTATTGATTTGATGAAATATGCGATTATATTACAGTGTGCAAGAAAAAACAAAAAAATATATCATATGGATTTTCAAGTGTTTTTCAAGTATAGAACAATTATATAAAAATTCAGCTCCATTTATTTGTGTTTTTCAAGTATATTTAATTTAAAATATCTTATTATCAAACAAAATAAGATTATTAAATACTTTTTAAAAAATTAAAAAAATCTATTTTAGTATTTGTTTTCTTAAGTTAAAAATAATAATTTGATCAAACACCATTGGCACAAGTGAAAATGAACTTGTGTCTTTTAACTAGAGGTGTTGAGTTTGATCCCTAAAAATAAAAAAAATAAAAACTTGGGAGAGCAACCACAATACAAGAGTCTGACACTGCTCGAATCGAACTAGTATGAAGGATGAACCGGTTGAGTAGACTCGAAAATAATTATAATTTTATATATATATATATATATATATATATATATATATATATATATGATTCGGAGTCTGACACTGCTCGAATCAAACTAGTATGAAGGATGAACCGGTTGAGTAGACTCGAAAATAATTATAATTTATATATATATATATATATATATATATATATATATGATTCATTTTTTCTGCAGTAAATAAATTATACAATGAGTTCAAAACGACGTCGTTTTGAAAGAAAATCAAGGAATTTTTGTAATTATAATATATTTCAGGGTTATAATAATATTTCTCATTATAATTTTTTAATCTTTCAACCCATAACGACGTCGTTTTGAAAGAAAATCAAGGAATTTTTGTAATTTTAATATATTTCAGGGTTATAATAATATTTCTCTTTATAATATTTTAATCTTTCAACCCATAACTACGTCATTTTGGGAGTGAGTGTAGATAATTTATCTAGATAAATAAATTATGTGCTCATTTTTTTTGCAATCAATGTAGATAAGTTATCTACATTGAGCCCAAAATGACATCATTTTGGGTGGAAATCAAGATATTTTTATAATTATAATTTATATCAGGTGATAATACTATTTCTCATTATAATTTTTTAACCCAAAACTGGGAGTGAATGTAAATAAATTGCCTACATTCATGTAGAAACATTAAAACCATAAACTAAATAATACAACATGTAATGCCTGCCCATTTGCAAGATTAATGACTGCCCCCACAAACCAGTACGAGACTTTTCAGCGTGCTCTTTCTTCACTCGCACACCCCAAAATTGCTCCAAGTCAAAGTACTCAACTTGTCTTTAGCCAATCACTTGACTAGCTCAAACCCAACTTGACTCTTATACCACTGTTAGGTGGGTCCAAGGGGAGATTATGACGGGAACCATTACCAATGAGCTAAACTAGTCCAACCACACTAAATAGGTTTGATACTATGTTAAAACTCAAAATCTTAAGGTATTGAGTTCATAGATCATGTCACTTACATGCACTTCACTTAGCTAATTGTTAGGAGTGTGGCTTCCATACTCAATAGGGATGAATTGAGTATTACAAGATTTTCGCAAAAGTCCCCTTCTAGTTTCTAAATAATCATTTCAAGCACACTTTGATATATGAAAAGGTAATCAATGCATTCAAACAATCCATAACATATAATATATCATAATTATTGAACTTACATTAGCACATACAAGATATCAAAGAAGCAATAAAGTGCTAGAAATAAAGAGTTTAGAGTTTAGAGAAGTGCTAGAAATAAAGAGTTTAGAGTTTAGAGAATTGCAAACACAATATATCCTGGTTCGGTCACCACCACTTGTGACCTACGTCCAGACTGAAGCCGCTCGATTAACTCTTTCACTAATGGTCAAGCTTCACGGGTGCTTGACAAACTTTTACAATCTTCCAAGACTTCGGGTTCTTGGATACCTTACAATCTCCAAGTTTATGGGTACTTGGCAACCTTACAATTCACTCCAAATTTACTTAGGTATTTGGCTACCTCTCAAACAATGGGTCTCACAACCCTTTCAACTTAAGAATACAAGGAGGGAAATGTTTGGAAATAAATATACACTCTCAAAGTGTGGATATACAACTTGAAGCACTATGGGTATATGGATTTTCAAGATATGAGCTCAAATATGTTTGATCTTGCACTATGGGTATATGGATTTTCAAGATATGAGCTCAAATATGTTTGATCTTTGAAAGATATGAAAGAATATGCAAAAGATAGTGTAGAAACTCTCAAAGTATGCTTAATATGTGTAGGAATGATGTCCAATATTTTTGAGTCATTGGGAATGCATATATAGTGTTTTCATTGAAAACTAGCCGTTGGAAAACTAGTCGTTTATAGCCGTTGGGATCTCATTTGAAAAACTAGTCGTTTTATAGCTGTTTATAGCCGTTAGGATCACTTTTGAAAAATTAGCCGTTTTATAGCCGTTGGGATCTGTTGCAGTGGTAATCGATTCTCAACTTGACAACAATAATATTTTTTCGTATTTTGACTATAATTTGAGTTATACTTGTCGGATTAATGTTATCTTGGTCTCATTGAAAAGATAAAAGAGAGATCTACAACTTTTATGAAGAACACGAGATCCAAATCCATCATCTTAGATACAAAATATTGTATGGAAGGAAGCAGCGAAATTAAACAGGAAATTTTAAGTTCAAATGTGTTCTATCTTGCTTCCAACTACTTTTTGTGAAAGATCTTGACTTGATAAATATTTTTTGAAGTTATAAAATATGTCAAAGATATTTTCATGAATTTTTCAAATTTCTTTCAAGTATATAAATGTTATGATTATGCAATTTGAAAAACATATTTACTTTGAGAAAAACTTTGAGCTCATGCAATGTAATCTATCATATACCCTCACATATATTCTAAGTCCTAAAGATATATTCTAAATATGATTTTAGACTTAGCTTCATGTCTCTTGTCTTGAATCTTTTCTTGAACTTGATGCTTTGACTTGTTGAATATGACAATGCTTAACACTTTGTTGGTTTTCATCATTTTTCACCATGGTTATGATATTGAGCTTCTTTTAGATGTTGTCCATGGTTAGTTGTCTTTGATCTTGTTATTGCTCTTCTAATCATTCCTTGTTGCTCTTGATCAAATGATCTTGTCTTTTTGTTGTTGCCACTCTGTTATCATCAAAATATACATTGTATCTACACTAATTACCAACCAATATAGGATTGACTCATCACACTTGAATATTCCAACAATCTCCCTCTTTAAGTGTGTGAAACTCAATATTGATACTCTTCGCCTTAATTGAGTACCCAAGGCCCAAGTACTCCACTCACCTCTAGCCAATTACCAGGCTAGCTCGAGCTCAACCCGACTTTATACTATTATCAAGAAGGTCTAAGGGGAGCCTGTGGTTGGGGACCACTATTAACAAGTTAAACTAAGGGGCCAAAGTATATGCATCTTGTTAATATAAGTAGTATATATTATTTTCTTTAAGCTATCATCAACTCGTATAGTCTCATACTTGTACAACCTCTGAATCTTTGTTGTTTAGGTGTTGATTTGATTTATTTATATACTTCTCCAACTAATGCCAAGAGCCGCTTCTTATCTGTGCCTCATTTTTTTACACCGACGATCACTCTCCACCCTCATCAGCTCTTGAAATGTTACACAATCCCTAAAATCCTCAATTTCAATTATATTAATTTGCATTAACATTATGCAGCCACACAAGGTGAGGTAAACTCCTCAAGAGATTCCAAACTTAGAAGAATATTTAGTGTGTCATGTGTGAACATTTCATTCCTTTTGCAGCAGCTTCTGAATCCGCTGTCATTCATGATAAAATCATTATAATTGTTTTTTTTAAAGTATAGGAACATTAATAGTTAGATGTATTATATGATAAAATCAATTTATTTTTCTATTTCGAAAAATGATTCGGTGGTCTCGAAAAATATAAATTCTAAATATACTATTTATTAAATTCATTTTCATTCCTTAGTTATAAAAATAAATAGTATTGTCAAATATATATTTTTCCTATAAGCATACCAAAAACACTATAAAGAATATAAATATTATCATGCACATCTTAAATAATCCCAAGACAAAATTTGTTGAACCCTATCTTGATTTCCTAATTAAAAATATAAAAGGGTTAAGTGAAAATATATGATTAAAGAAAAAGAATCATATCATCCTTTACTTATTTACACAATAAATAATAATTATAATTTTTGCTTGGTAAATAAATAAATATTTCTCAAATTTTGACGTACTAGACTAATTTAGTCCAAGAGCCTGTTTGGATCCTCTTATTTTTAAGCTAGAAGCTACTTATAAGCTAAAGCTAAAAATAAGAGCTTAAAAAAAAAGTTAAAAACTGTTTGGAAATTACATCAAAAATATAGCTTAAAAATTACTTAAAAGCACATACTCCAAGAAAATTATCTCTCTTTATCTTTATCACTCTTTATTTAAAAAAAAACACACAATTCAAGAAAAATAGATAAGAGCTTAAAAAAAAGCTCTTCCTAGGAGCTTTTAGTTTTCAGCTTTTTTCTTCATTATAAAAAAAGAGCTTTTCATTATAAGAGTTTTTTCCAAAACTTGTTTGGCCTAGCTTATGCTTATAAATAGTTTTTAACTTAAAAAAGAGAGGATCCAAACAGACACTAAGTTTAAGTTTTTTTATCATCTTCAAAAATTGCGGTTCTCAAGAATTGAACTCATTATCTTTTAAGTACACAAATTCTAAAATTTAGTTGAATAGCTCCAAGATCTACAATATTTGTCTATAATTACAATTTTTTTAAAACACACTATACACATTTTTAAAATTACAAATGCCGTAGAACTTGTAATCTATGTTTGGGACCCAATTTATACTTATTTTCAAACCGAACCCATATTATTTTCAAAAATAAAAAGTAAGAATCGGGTAAATGGATGGGTTTCCGGGTCGAACCATTGTTGAAAAGAGCATATTTTAACGTTACCGCCATCGCCTTTCTGAAACTGGAAGCTGGTAAACCCTAAACCTTAGGAAACACTTGAGAGAGTTCAGCTACCTGTTTTCATGGCGATCAACGATGCTGATCAATCCAATAAGGCTCACAGGTTCCGTAAATCTGGTGCGAAATCCGACAAGAAGAAGAGAAACAAGCACGATGCCGGAGAGGATCAGAAAAAGCAAAACCCTAAGGCATTCGCTTTTTCTTCCTCTAACAAAGCCAAGAGATTGCAATCACGCGCCGTCGAGAAAGAGCAGCGCCGCCTTCACGTTCCTATCATTGACCGCACTTATGGTGAACCCGCTCCTTACGTCGTCGTCGTGCAGGGTCCACCCCAGGTGCGTGTTCTCTTATTTTTTTCTTCGAAGTTCCAATATTGAGATTTCGGGTGAAAGTGAAGATATGGGAACACAACTCAATGTAACTTGTTAATGTTGCCTTGCTGGCGTGAATTTGGTTTGCCTTCAGGTTGGGAAGTCACTGTTGATAAAGTCTTTGATTAACCATTATACGAAACATAATTTGCCTGATGTTCGTGGTCCAATTACTATTGTATCAGGTTTGTGCATTTTTTTGTTTATCATGTTACTATCATCAATGTACGTGTATTTCTGTGGAGGGGGATGACTCTGGATTTCCAATAAATGTTTGATCACATGTGTCAGGAAAGCAAAGACGTCTGCAGTTTGTGGAATGCCCAAATGATATCAATGGCATGATAGATGCGGCAAAGTTTGCTGATCTAGCTCTTCTTCTTATAGACGGGAGTTATGGCTTTGAAATGGTGAGTTATTAGAGAATAAAGATAGGTTTGTGCTTGTGTTTAAACTCGTGTCACAGTGCTACTATGTAATTTAGATGAGATTGGTTTGTGGTTAATGTTACAAAATATGCTTCCTGTCTTTTGAGATTTTACTTCTTGCAGGAAACCTTTGAATTCCTTAATATTTTGCAAGTTCATGGGTTCCCGAAGGTCATGGGGGTTCTTACTCATCTTGACAAGTTCAAGGATGCTAAAAAGTTGAGGAAAACCAAACAACGACTCAAACACCGGTTTTGGACTGAAATATATGATGGAGCTAAATTGTTTTACTTATCAGGCCTTATTCATGGAAAGTAAGAAGTTATCAGAAATCTGTTTTTTTATTACAGTTTCCTCTTTTATACCCGTAGGTTAATAGTGTTTGCTAAACTTTATAACATTGCCTTTCCTAATTGAACAGGTATGTCAATCGTGAAGTTCACAATCTTGCTCGATTTATTTCAGTCATGAAGTTTCATCCTTTATCTTGGCGAACTTCCCATCCGTATGTTTTGGTAGATCGTTTTGAAGATATCACTCCTCCTGAAAAAGTGCATGCAAATAATAAATGTGACAGAAAAGTCACACTTTATGGTTATCTTAGAGGCTGTAATTTGAAAAGGGACCATAAGGTGTGTTCAACAGTTCTACAATATTACTGTCTTTATTTGAAATTATGTTCATTATAATATAATGTTTTTTGGAAGAATATGCAAGGGATAGTGCCCTCCATTGCTACTTGAGAATTGAGATATTTTTGAGCAATAAGTCGGACATTGTTTTCCTCACTCTCCTCTATATTCATACTTTTATTTATATATTCCTCATATTATAGTTAGCTCCTATCTCACAATTCACATTGTGTTGTCCTGTTTTAATTTGAACAAATTCATGCTTTATATTTTTGGTCCTATTGCAGTATATTGATTACTACCAATTAGTGCAAAGATTATCTCAATGTGATCCTAAATCCTAATATTCGTTGCTCTAAATTTTCGTAAGAATTTTGCTTAAATTTAATTTCAAAGTTACCAATTCTTGCATATGTTTGTATATACGTTTATCAACTACTTATTAACTATTTTCTTTTTATTTATGCACTCTAGTGCATCTAAGAACTCTTTCATCATTCTTAAAGGATTTAGAGTATATATATTAGACAAAAGGAATTTAGTTATGGCATAATTTCACTGTTTTAGCTTGATGCTTGCTAGAAATGTGTAAAATTTTGACTACTTGCTTAAAGTGGTACGGTTATTGGGTGTTACTTTAAGTGTTCTGTTTATTTTCCTCCAAATATTAGTACTCTAATTTGTATTTTGGAAATCAGATGCACATAGCTGGAGTGGGTGATTACAGTTTAGATGGTATTACTGTTTTACCTGATCCTTGTCCTCTTCCATCTGCTGCAAAAAAGAAAGGACTGCGCGATAAGGAAAAGTTATTCTATGCTCCCATGTCTGGCCTTGGGGATCTGTTGTACGATAAAGACGCTGTATACATAAATATTAATGATCACCTCGTTCAATTTTCAAAAGTTGATGATGAAAACTCTGCTATGACAAGCAAAGGTTATTAGATAATTTCTCTTTTGCATGCATTTTATCCTTGTTCGTTAAATCATATTATGATCATATAGTGGCAGTTGTTTTAATAGAATATTTCCAGGTGTTGTGTTGTCTTGGAATGTTTATCACTTTTCTATTTTATTCCTTTATTACTTGTATCGTTATAATATGATTACCAGTTACATTTTCAGGTTAGACCATGCATTACGCAGTGGTGAATTTGCTTTACTTTTCCTATTTCTTCCCTATTCTAGTATTTCCTTTTATTAAAATTCGTACTTCTAAACTTTTGACAGGAAAGGACAGAGATGTAGGGGAGGTTTTGGTGAAATCACTTCAGAATACCAAATACTCAATTAATGAAAAACTAGAGAACAGCTTTATCAATCTTTTTGGTCAAAGGCCTCAATCAGAAGCTCTAGCTGATGTACAGGGTACAAACGAAGAATATCAGTCTGGACAAGCTATTGGAGCTGGTATAGTTGGTGAAGATAATAATGAAATGGATTTGGATGGTTCAGAATCATCTGATCAAGATGAAATTGATGCCATGACAGACAGTGAACCCTGTGGTTCTTCTGATGAAGATATTGATGCAACAGGTAGTAAAGCTACTAATGAAGACCACATAAAAGAACATATTGAGTTTCATGAAGGAAAACGAAGGAGAAGAGTAATATTTGGAAATGACGTTGATCAAAGTGATCTGATGGTGAGCTTTAAGTTATGTTGTTTATTGTACGGAATCATGCCTCAGAGTAAAGAAACTAGCTTGTGTTATGGCCATTGCCTTTCAATTCTTTCAGGAATTTGTTTGAATAGGAAAAAAACCTTGATTGCATTAAATTGTAGGCTAAGCTTAAACTTAAATTAACTCAGTGTGTGAATAAATTTGGTTTTGCTTTTGTTTCATGTGATATATATGTCAGTTTGCATTGAGAATGCTGTAGTGGAATGCTCATAATTTCTAGACCAACTTCATTGATAGGATTCAGAAGAAGAGGACGGTGCTGCCAGGGATGATGTGGCATCTTCTGATTCAGATTCTTCAAAAGAAGAGGAGGAGGATGACAATGATAATGATGACACAACTGGTGCAGTTTTCCTCCTTTGATTGTTTAATACCTATACATTTTCTGTTCTTATCTGGTTGTATAAACGCTTTAGTCATGATCTCATTACTAGGTATGGTAAATCAATGTTCAGTCAAGATGGATGATATGATTGTACTTCGTACATGACATGTTTTCTCACTTGTTTCTCCCAAGTTAATTGCTATAAATCAGTGGCTTGTTACTGGAGACTTTATATTGTTTGTGACTTTTCTTTTTTGATTTTCCTTATAGAAGATGACATGGGAAATGTTTCAAAGTGGAAAGAGTCCTTGGCAGAAAGAACACTCTCACGGAAAACTCCTAGTTTGATGCAACTTGTGTATGGGGATTCAACTGTTAATTCAACCCCTATAAACAAAGAGAATGATAACAGTGAAGATGAGGAAAGTGAGGATGACTTTTTTAAGCCCATAGAAGAAGTGAAAAAGGTTGGTCCTTTACTACCTTGCACGACTTGTACTGAATTTTTCATTTAATTGTTGCTTTGCATGTTTTTCTCCTGTTAATGACAATTACAAAAGCTATATATATTATCTGAGATGTATATGTTTCTTTCTTTCTCCTTCGGAATCTTGTTGGTTGCTTCATAAACTAAGAAACTCTATGCTTTTATCTTATAAAATCTATAGCAATACATGGGAGATGAATTGAATGATGGAATGATCAACATTGAGGATTTTTCCAAGTGTGCACAATTTTTGGATCTGAGATTGAATGAGATAGAGGATGAGGAGATTCGCAACCGTTTTGTATCTGGAAATTTGGCAAAAGCTGCACTCAGAAATGCACTACCAAAAGCTAATATTGAAGAGGAAAATGATGATGCCTATGGTGACTTTGAAGATCTAGAAACAGGAGAAAAATATGAGAATAACCGGACAGATGATGCTATTGCAGCGACAGTGCACAAGGTTGATAATTTGAAAGCTGAGGAGCGGAGGCTTAAGAAACTTGCTCTTCGTGCAAAATTTGATTCTCAATATGGTGATGACTTTGGGTCACAAGAGGAAGATACTGGTCATGAAAATGAGGCCAAGTTCCATCGTGGTCAAGCTAATGAAAGTAGCTATTTTGACAAGGTAAAACTTATTGCTTACATTAAATGTTAACTAGTAACTACCATGTTATAGAATGGCTACTAACTCTGGTGTTTTACCAGTTGAAGGAGGAGATTGAGCTTCGGAAACAAATGAATATTGCTGAACTCAATGATCTTGATGAAGCTACCAGATTAGAGATAGAAGGCTTCCGAACAGGGACATACCTAAGAATGGAGGTTCATGATGTTCCTTGTGAGATGGTTGAATACTTTGATCCCTACCATCCAATATTGGTTGGAGGGGTTGGTTTAAAGGAGGAAAATGTTGGATACATGCAGGTCAGTGGAATTTTTTAAAGCATAGTTCCTTATAAAGTTTAACTGGAAACGAGTGTTGGAAACTTTTTTAAGTCTAGAAAACTATTGGATCCCAAAGACTTTTATGATTATGGATGGGATTAGGGAAATATATGTTGATTCAAAGTCAATTGTAAGGGACTCTAATTGGCCAGGTTGTTTAATGCAATGATCTCAAGGTCAAGTGACATGTCACGGAACTTGGTAGTGCATCAATATGAGAATATACTGTAATTGGGTTTGGAATAGTGCATATAGCTGTATATACTAGGATGGTTTGGGCAGGACTTCCTTTTGATGTTGCAGACATGGAATAATGAATAATCTATGTCTTTTTTTATGAATGATGACATGGACCATCTATATAGAAGGAAAGGAACATCAGTTTGTATAGAAGATGAAAATTTGGCTCAAAAAACATGTCAATGTCGTTAACACTTTCTTGTTTTTTACCCTTTCTTTTAAATTCACCCATCTTCTTTCTGTTTTCTTCCTCATCTCTTGCTGGTTTTCAAAAATATTTTTTTGCTTTCTCTTTCCTTCCAGGCCAGGCTAAAGCGGCACAGGTGGCACAAGAAAGTTCTGAAGACTAGAGACCCAATTATTGTTTCTGTAGGATGGAGGCGTTACCAGACAACCCCAGTTTATGCTATTGAGGATATCAATGGAAGGCATCGTATGCTAAAATACACTCCAGAGCACATGCATTGCCTTGCTATGTTTTGGGGCCCTCTTGCTCCTCCCAACACTGGGATAGTTGCCATTCAGAATTTATCAAACAATCAGGTCAGCCTGCACATACTTTTCTCTTGTTAAATGACTTTCTTTTACGTCCTCTCGAGTCTCAAACTGTGGATGCTGTTTTTGTACTTTTACCCTTTTGTTTTATTCCTGTTATAATTTTGCTTTGTGCCTGAGAAATTGTATTTAATTTTATCAGGCAACATTTAGGATTACTGCAACTGCAGTTGTACTTGAGTTTAATCATGCGGCAAGAATAGTGAAGAAAATCAAATTGGTTGGTTACCCATGCAAGATATTCAAGAAGACAGCACTTATCAAGGATATGTTTACTTCAGATCTTGAAATAGCTCGGTTTGAAGGTGCAGCTATTCGAACAGTCAGTGGGATTAGGGGGCAGGTCAAGAAGGTCTGTGACTTGTAACCTGGAGACAAATGCATATATTATACTGATGATTCATCCTGTTAATGTCAGTTGGATACTTATATTTTGTTATCTATTTTGTGCTAAGTATTTTTTTTTTAATCTGGCAGGCTGCTAAAGAAGAACTTGGTAACCAACCAAAAAGGAAGGGTGGGCAAACCAAAGAAGGAATTGCTAGGTGCACTTTTGAAGACAAAATTCTGATGAGTGACATTGTTTTCCTGCGTGCATGGACTCAAATTGAAGTTCCTCAGTTTCATAATCCATTGACAACAGCATTGCAGCCTCGTGACCGGACTTGGAAAGGAATGAGAACTGTTGCAGAATTGAGAAGAGAACACAATCTTCCTATACCTGTAAACAAAGATTCACTTTACAAGGTATGTTCTGGTTTGATACCCATAGATATTCTCCCTTCTTGATGTGCTCTGAGACATTTCTCCTCCCTTACGGTTTTGTCTTTACTTAATATTATTATCCTTTTTTATTTTTCGTTTCTTGCAGAAAATTGAAAGAAAACCCAGAAAGTTCAATCCATTGGTGATTCCCAAGTCTATACAGGAAGGTCTTCCCTTTGCATCAAAATCGAAGGATATACCTAAGCGGAAAAAGCCATTACTTGAAGTGAGAAGGGCAAGGGGTGTTGTAATGGAACCTCGTGAGCGTAAAGTTCATGCCCTTGTTCAACACCTCCAGTTAATGAATAATGAGAAGGTAATTATGTCGACTAATGACTTTTATTCCAACTTCTATCCAAGATTTCTTGGCTTGATTTGGTGACATTGGTTCATTGGTTAGGGGTTATATTCCCTTGCAAAAAAATATTATTTTATAGCACTATTTCTTATGTCTTTTGATTGAGCATCTTGCAGATGAAAAAGCGAAAGCTTAAGGAAGAAAAGAAGAGAAAGGTACTTGAAGCAGAGAAAGCAAAAGATGAGCAGTTGTCGAGAAAGCGGCAAAGAGAGGAAAGACGAGTGAAATACCGGGCTCAAGACAAGCAGAATAAGAAAATTCGGAGATCTGAGGATTGAGTTTATGACTTGAATATGTTGTGAAATTGATTTTTGTCTTGTTGAGGGAGCTCATCTCTGAGGCTTATTTATGAAAATGAGGACCAGAAGGTCAAGTACAGCCCAAATTAGTAATTTGGCATATTTGGATTTGCTCAGTTAATGTAAAATTCTTTTTCCGCAGACCAAAAAATAATGTAATATAATACGATTATGCAAAAAGTTATTAAATTCTTGAAACATTGATGTAAGATGTATCATACCATTTTTGTTACTAGGATATTCTTACTATCAGCTGAAAAATAGGATTTAATAGTAGATTGGTAATAGAAATATTTGGTATTTTCTTTTTTATTTATTTTTTTACATGTTAGCTTCAATATAATGCTACTATTTTGCTGGTTTTTTTTTTTTACCCTTTTCTCCTTCATTAATTAATTAATAATTATTTTATCTCTTATTCAAAATTATCTACTAATCTGTTCCTCTTTAATCGATTAAATTGAAAATTTAATCGATTAAATGGTCAAAACTGAAAAAAATGGTTGACTTAGATTTAATCGATTAAATCTCCTTCTTAATCGATTAAATCAGACTTCTCCAACGACGGAAGGGTGCATGTTAAATCTTTAATCGATTAAATTGAGAGATTTAATCGATTAAATCTCCCTGTTTGACACATGACATTTTTTGTTCTGACGTGGCATATTTCGCTACACCGTGTAGCGAATTATTTGCACATATATTTCGCTACACAGTGTAGCGAAATATGTCACGTGACATTTTGACAAAATTTACTGTTAGCGTGATATTTTGATATTTTTTTTTTGCCAACGGTAACACTTTGGCCACTGTTCCAAATTATGTGCACGTAAAACCGTAAATCAAAGTCTTCACTAGCTTGATGACTTGGATCATTTTTAAAAACCATTAGTGTTCATGTGCATCTGTCTTAACTTACAAAGGGTGAGTATTTAATATTGTAGCAATTGAGATGGAATTGACAGTTAGGGACCCTTGAAATTGGTCAACATTAATATAATATACTATGGTTTTGTTAAAAAAAATTATTCAAATTTTCACTTTGTTTTGTTATTTGTCAACATTAGCCTGATACGTTATTTGGTTTGGAACTACCGTAGATACTTTTTTGAGAGTAAAATAGATGGGGTTTTTCAATTTATGGCTTAGATCTGCTTGGATTGTACTATATAATATTTGTGTAAATGCAGCAAGTGCTAGTTTTTTTCCTTTTATTCCCTAGGTTCCGTTTGACTACTTTTAATGAAAATTTATATCGCTTTTGACAATATCTGCATCATACTATAAGCTTGGTTTCCTCTAGAGGCTCTGTTTGGTATGGGAGTTATGCAAATAAAGTCACCTTCCTCTAGAGGTTCACGCATGGTTATAAAAATTCAATTTTTACTTTTCTTTCTCTTATAGAAATGGAAGTAATATGTTACTGTTTGTGTGAGTAATAGCTTTAGAAGTGAGTTTATGTAGTTGTGATATTTCAATATCTTATTATCTTACTACATTTCAGGCCTATCTTATGGAATCAGTTATCAATACTATTGATGTTGAATCTGAAAATTTGAACATTGAGATTGAAGAAGGATCTCAATCGGTTGAACCGACTAAAAAAAAAATTTATATTAAAAATTTATATTTGGACATTGAGATTGAAGAAGCATTCACCATCTAACAAAATTGTTTTAGATTCGATTATTGTACCGTTTATATATGGAGAGCGAGAGAGATAGATGCTAAAAGATATAAAAAAATTATATTTTTAAATTTAGGTAAATTGTAAAAATAGAGAGCAAAGATATATTCAAGGGAACAAAATGTTTAAAATTATATTAAAAATACATAATTAATTAAAAAATGAACTTAAAATTTAAAAGAAAAGGAAGTTAACATGTGTCTTATTTTTGCAGAAAGTACTTTAATTAAGAGGTTTAACCCCTTTTAAGAGGGCGAATTATTTTTTTCGTAATACTAATATATATTATATCCTTATGATATTTTATTTATATTGACACAATTCAAAAGAAATATAAAATATATGCCGACAATATCTAATCATGTTAAGATACTATCGAGATATATGATAGGATAGATTATTGTATGTTGTTATAAATAATTATAAAATTTATTTATAAATATCTTAATATTTTGAGATATGTAAATTCCTAATTAGTAAGTTTTAAAAATAACTTATAAAAAATTGTTCATAAATATCTTATATATTTGTTAAAATGTATTTTATAAGTTGATAAATATCTAAATATTTATAAATTAAATAAAAAATATTTAATTTTATCCACCTGGTTCTATATCTATTAAATAGGACTATTAAGTTTTGAAAATATTTTAATTTTTTTAAAAACTTAAATATTTATCAAAATTATTTTATAAACTATTAAATGTCTGTATATTTTAAAAGTTAAAAAAAATTATAAAATTATTTCCACTTATTTTTATCTATATCATATTTGCATTAGTTTATAAAGGAAAATTATACTTACAACTTATTTTCGTTTACAACCTCTAACAATTATATTTTAATCGTTGATTTCCGTCAATTAATGGTTATTATTTTTTACGAATTAATAATTAATCAATAAATTTAATTTACGAAAATAATAACCATTGATTGATAAAAATAAAAATTAAAATATAATTGTAAGAGATTACAAATAAAAATATATTATAAATATAACTTTCTTCTAATTTATATCCCCTTATTCTTATCCACTTATAAAATTACATCCAATTATAAAATAAATAGAGCAAGAGAGAACTTTTTTGAAGACATATCGCAGTTGAATTTCCCCTACACTTTTGCATTAATTTTTATTTTTACTACTCGTTACTACCAAATCTTAACTGTTGATTTCTGCCAATTTAACGATTGTAATTTATTAGACCTAATAATTATAATCGTTAGAATGACAAAATTCAACAGTTAAGATTTAATTGTAACAAGTAGTAAGAAAAAAAAGTAGTAAGTATAATCTCTTCCCGTGATATTTGGATCTACACGATTTAAAAAAAAAAGATATAGGTTGAAAATATAAAAGAATGCATGTTCCAACCAAGTAGTTTACCAAACCCTATCTGACTGACGTTTAGGTTTTCAGCCATCTTTTAACAAAGATCTCATTCAGTATATATTTACGGTTTTGTCCCCTAATAAATCGTGTCCCCAAACCCCTCCAAAAAAAATTCCCCAAATCTGCTGCTTGAAGCTCCTGCCTACCGCAGCGTTCGTCTTCTCCAGACGTCGCGTTCTGAGCTGCTCCACCGTCGCGTTTTGAGGCGCTTTGACCGTCGCGTTCCCTGTGCTGTGCCTCTGGTTTGTCTTCCACTCTTCCCTGTTAGCTGTTACTCACTCATTCGGGTTATTCGGTGATTTCGGTGTTCCAGTTAATTCTATTTTTTTTTTTTTGTCTTTACTCTTTTATTTTTCTATTATGAACTTGTGCCTGCCTGTGGAGTGAATTTTCCCTACACTCCATGTTGGTTGAATCTTTTTCTTCCTTTTGTATTGGTTTGCCTGTTGCCTGGTTTGATACTTAATATCTTGGGTTTATTTATTTATTTTTTTGTGTTATTTTCTTGTTTGTTGTTGGTACTGCAGTCTGCATGTGAAATACACTCTTTATATTAAAAGTATTATTTAATACTAAGATGTGTCATAATGTACCAGTGCTTCATAGCATTTTACTATGACCTATGAACACACTGATTAATTTTGTAGAGGTGCAAGAATGCAGTAATATATTTTCGTTCTCTGCACATTTTCTTTAGGTTGGATCACCGCTGTTAAGAAATGAAGTTTTGTAGAACAGACGTCCAATCAATTTTGTCACATATTAAGCGTCAAGAGAAACAGATCAAACTTATGAGGAGGTAAGATACTTTATGTTGTATATCAGCTTTGTTTTGTTTTATTTTGATGTTAGATATTAATTAAATTTAATTTAATTACATAATATGAAAATGGCACAGGTGGTTAATGGGCATTCCTACCTCAAAATCTGAATGGGAGAAGTTGAATTTTTTTTTCAAAAATAAGTGAGTGCCTTATTTGTCAATGATTTTATTACCTGGTTTAACTCTACTGAATGATTTTCTTCCACCTGTTTTTTTGTCTACAGGTTTTTGTCCGAGTCTTTACTCAGGGAAGATGATGTAAGTACTTCTTTATTGTATTTTGTCTATGGTTATTTACTATGCTCTTTGAATGATAAATTGATAATCTAATAACCATTTCAGATATTTTATGAGTCAGTAAGAACACGTGTTGAAGGTGCCTTTGGAAAGCACCACATTGAAAGAGAGAATCATGTCCTTCAGGATGATATTCATCTGATGCACACACCAAACATAAAAAGGTTGATATCATCATGCCTCGATAAATTGACCACCAAGGGTCTGTACCTTCTTGCCATGATAGTTACTGGTGGCTCAGTCAAGTCTGAAAGAACTCGTTGCAATTTGAAAAAGATTATCAAGGGTTCTCTTTCAAGTTTTTTGGGTAGCAAAAGCCATAACCACCATAAACAAAAAACTTGTAAACAGATTTTTCAACTTCTCACCAATCCACAGAATTTCCGAGATAGGTGTGAGCCGTTGTCTGGATTGAGATCGCAATCTTCTCATGCTGCTGTAGCAAAGGTATTGCAGGAACTTCATAACTTGCCATCTCAGAGCCTGATTGCCATGCGTAGAAAACTTAAAGGAGTGAAAGCACCCATACCTCAGTTACAACCGCGCAAACTCGGATGGAGACGTGACCATCTAATCAAGCTAGTAAAGAAAATCAGTAGGGAGATGCTTTCACAACTTGATAGAGGAAATGAGCTACAAGAGCCATTAGCCAAAGCCATGGCAGTAGCAGACTTATCCCTAAAACTTATAACTGGTTGCCATAACATATTTTCAGAAGAATTTTACCAATTTTCACCTGAAGTAAAGTCCCTGCAGAGTGATATTATGAATGCTATATGGTCTGTTAAAAAAGTAGGGACAGTGCCACAGCTAAGAAGTTTACAGCTTCTCATAGAACCAAAGGCTATAATATCAAATAGGAGCTTACGGACAGCTTTTGTAAATTTTTTGATTGAATTTCTTGTTGAGTGCAGTGAAATGGATAGCATTCCAAAGTCTCTATTACAGATCCTGGATGTTATTAATAGGGGTTCTAATGACGGCATGCACAATGCATTATTCCAGAAGAAGTATATTGAAGAAGAAGTTGACTGCATATTAAGTGTGAGTGCTCAGACAAAACAAATTGTTTTGGATTTATTGCCTGACCATGAATTTGATCAAGACTTTAATGATGCTTATATGGAGCAATTGGAAGACAGTGATGACAGCAGCAGTGATGAGGATGATGATGATAGTCAACTTCCAGAGGATAGACAATTTGTAAACGGAACATTCATTTCGATGGATTCAAGTTGCGGAGCAGAAAGTATTGGGGATTTTACTCCATTTGAGTCCCATCCTTCTACCTCTATGACTCAGGAAAATGTTTCTCTCTGTCCAATTACAACCAGTGAAAGGTTGAATAGAGATTCTGAAAAGCTTCAAACTAAGAAATGTTATTCAGTAAATATGGAATTCGAAGTTCACACCATTCCACCTAACGTGACTACCAACCAATACCTGGGACAAAGCACAGAGCATTTTAGTACATTTATGGCCGGCAAAACCAATAATTCTTCAGTTATTTCACTTGACAGAGAATCAGATGAAAATATTATAATGAGACATGATTTTTATGAATCTGACACTGAAAGAGATCCAAGAGACACAGATAGCTTATTTTGTGAGGAGACAGAATCTATACCCACCAAGTACAGCCTATGCAAAAATCAATACCTTGCTACCCAAGATGCCTGTGATAAGACAAGCATGCTTGCATATAATCTCATAGGTCGCATGGTGGAGGAGTTTGCCATAATTGAAGGCCTAAATTTAAACTTGAGCCAGAGTTTATACCTCAGCGGTGACAATCAAGTTGAAGAGGTGGAAGGTATTGAAAGTTTCTGCCATTTTGCCTATTATAATCACAACGAATATTCTGTGTATTCATACCAGTTTATCTAAAATTTGCTGTATTACCATATTGCTAGCTACTACTAATTCATTGTATTAAATATAAGTCTTTAATTTTCATTTGACATTATTTTGGATTTCATGGCCCTTCTTTCAGCTTCAGCAAAGTTAAAGTATGTCAGCATACCTTTTCTAATTGTTATTGCATGAATTGACTTTTTTTCTCACCAATAGAATAATTAAGATAGTATAATTGTGAAGTTGTCATTGATTCTCTTGTTCTATTTCATGCAGAAACAAAAGAACAGTCATCATGTGGGAAGCATGCAAAATGTTCAGCTATTGTTCGAGTAATTGAAGAGCTGATTCCTTCCTTTCCAGATAGGTATTTGTTACGTCCTCAAATATGGTGGCATAACTAAAAATGTTTTATATAATGTGCATGATTTTAATTTGCTAGATGACCCTTGTAGTTGAAAACTTATAATTGTTTTACCCATTCACATCATTGTGGAGTACAAATCAGACTCAAAGCAAACACGTTAGATGATTTTATGGGCAGTTACAAGCCAAATTTTAATGTGTCTTAAGTTTGAGTAACTCTTATGTTTTGGACCCTGCAGTGGCATGGAAAGATTGAAGATGTTGATGGGCTTATGATAATGGTACTCAGGCTTTCAGGTTCAACCAGATAAAAGCATCTTGAAATGATTTTTGAATATCTGGATCAAGTTGCCTGTTGAGAAATTCTTGTCATAGAAATGAATTTTTATGCAAGTTGACTCGGTTGCGTAATTTCCTGCCATTGATGTTTAGGATAATACTCTGAAAATGATATTTGCTTGGAAGAGATCCTTGGATTTTTTGTTTTCCATGAAGTTCTGTAGCAATAGCATTCATAGTAAGTGACTTTACTATGATGCAGCTCAATTGTTTTCCATTTCAAAGCACTACTTGCACTTTCTTCTGACATCCTGTATTTTTTCTTAGTCTCTTGCAGATAAAAAAGTGAAGGCTGAAGGAAGAGAAGAGGAGGAATGTACTTGAAGGAGAGAAAGCAAAAGATAAGCAGTAGATGAGAAAGCGCCGAAGAGAAGAAACCAGATGCAAGAGAACCAGAACAAGAAAATTTGGAGAGCAAAAGTTTGAGTTTATGGTTTGAATATGTTCTGAAATCGGTATTTGTCCTGTTGAGGTAACTGAGGAGGAGTGCTATCCAGATGTAGGTTGTGTGCAGCCCAAATTTGAAATTTGGCATATTTTGATTTGCCCACTTAGGTGGTGTTTGGTTCAGGATTTTCAAAAATTTACCTATGCATCTGACTGTGGGAAAGTGTGACGTCCATGTTTGGTAGAGAGTTTTGAAATATTTCCCCGGCTGTTATATTTGCATAGCAATTGAGAAATGCTTGTAAAACGCAACTACAAATCACTGTTCTGAAAGACAAGTTGATGGTGGTATTCTATAGTTAACCGGCTAAATGGCAAGAATGGCATCCATTTGCAGACCAAAGTACCCTCATCTAAAGCGCGAAGAAAGATAAAGTTGCTTAGTAGCACCCCTGAGTACATATATGCAAAAGCTCCTCCTTCGTGTGGGGCTTGAAGAGCAAATCTGGAAACGGCGACCGGGAAGTGGTTTTGCATGTTCGAAATGAACACACTCTTCCTCTGTGTGGTTTGAAACCGAAACGTAAGCATCATTGAGTTGCTTACTGTTGTAAATATTAGGTCTTTTATTATTATTAGTATTTGTTGTATTGGGCCAAGTCCATTAGGTCAAGAATTAGGTTTTTTAGTCTTTATAAATAGAGACCTCTTTGTATCAGATTAACATACAATTAATAATATTTTTCTGATTACCCTTTTTCAAGTTGGTATCAGAGCCCGTTCTGGATCTGTGTTCAAATCCTTGATCGAACTTCGTTTGGTATTTTTTTCCGAATTTTTTTGGCTTCTTGGAGCTTGTTCTTTAACTAGTTTTTGTGCAGCATGGGCTCCGACACTGAAACTGAATCAACCCTTGCAAATACAAAAAAAAATTCTTCTACACAGTCTGTGGTGACCCCTCTTGGTCACAATGATCTTCCTGCTCTTCATTAGAATTATCGTCTGAATGGAAAGAATTATTTACAATGGTCTCAGGTTGTTCGTACCATTCTCAAAGGACGTCGTAAAGTTTCTCATATTGAAGGACCTGTTCCTGCCAAAACAGATCCAACATTTTCTGATTGGGATGATGAAGACTCCCTTATTATGACGTGGCTATGGAACTCTGTGACTCCTGAGGTTAGTCAACACTGCATGTTTTTACCTACTGCTCTTGAGATCTGGAGCGTTCTTAAGCAGATCTATTCAATGAAGCAAGATGCTGCCACTTGTTATGATCTGAGGAATCAGATCTTTTCTACCAAGCAAGGTTCTCTCTCTATAACTGAATACTATGGTATTATGAATAAATTATGGACTGAGCTTGATCAGTACGAGAACTTGAAGATGGAATGTAGCAAGGATGCAGCCACTCTGACCGCCTCCATTGAACGCCATAGGATCTATGATTTTCTTTGTGGTCTCAACTCCGAATATGACCCTATTCGAGTTCAAATTCTTGGTAAGGAACAATTACCGTCTCTTTCTGAAGTTTTTCATATTGTCAGGGGTGAAGAAAGTCGCAGGGCTGTCATGATGGATACCAAAGTGTCAGAAGGGTCCATTATGCTCTCATCTAAAGTTACTACTTCAACTCCTTCTGACTCTAATCACACTGATGGGTCTGTTATGATTTCAACAAAAAGGGATGGTTCTTCTCAAAGGAACTCCTTTGGAAAATTTTCTGATGGTTCATCTTATAGACCGAAGAAAGATGATCGCTGGTGTTCTTATTGTCAAAGAACGGGTCATATCAAGGATCTATGTTTTCGCCTCCATGGAAAGCAAACGGTCTTAGACAAGATGGCAAGGATGCGTGGTCAAGCACATTTTACTTCCTCTGAAATAGCTCCTGCACCTAATGAGACCCAACCTGCGTTCCGTCAAGATGAGTTGGAACGGCTCCGCACCATCCTTGATTCTCTGAGTAAGCCATCTGATATTGATACTTTGGCTATGACTGGTATGAGCTCCAAAACTTATTCTTTTTTGTCTTCATATACTGATTTTAAATATTCTTGGATTGTTGATTCTGAGGCTACTGATCATATGGCTTGTTGTGCTGACCCCTTTACATCTTATAATCCTACCATTGGAACTCATACCATAGCCGTAGCTGATGACTCACATACATCAGTTGCGGGTTCTGGTAACATAAACTTACAGCCGTCCTTACATCTTAAAGATGCTCTTCATGTTCCTAAACTCTCCACGAATCTTCTTTCTATTCATAAAATTACAAAAGATTTGAATTGTACTGTAACCTTCTTCCCTACCCATTGTGTTTTTCAGGATCTCGCCACGGGGAAGACGATTGGTAGTGCTAAAGAGCAAGGTGGGCTGTACTATCTGGTGTCACAATCTCCCGCAAATAAAGTCACGGATCACATCTTGCTATCTTTTGAGTCTGAACCTCCAGTGTCTATTCCTTTACCTGTGTCAGTGTCACCTCTTCTTGTTCCTGTTCCTTCCATGTCTGATCCTCTTGTGATTGATACATCAAGTACACCAGAGATACAGAAGATTGTGACACCTGAATTGGTATATCAAAGAAGGAAACAACCCACATTGCCTCAACAGCAACCTCAATCGTCTGAACCACTGGTAAGTCCTGAATCTCATATTTCTGATCATGATGTTAATACTTCTGATGACTTACCCATTACTACTGCTTCTGATGATTTACCCATTGCTTTGAGAAAAGGAAAAAGATCTTGTTCCAAGAAATCTTGTTCTTCCTGTCCCTCTTGTACTCAATACCCTATCTCCTATTTTGTTTCCTCTGCTAATCTTTCTGTGCAGCACAAAAGCTTTGTATCAGCACTAGATTCTGTTTCAATCCCAAAATCAGTACATGAAGCCTTGAAAGATGGGAATTGGGCTCAAGCCATGCAAGAGGAGATGAATGCGTTGGAGAAAAATAAAACCTGGGAAGTTATTGATAGACCTAACAGAAAGAAAGCAGTGGCATGCAGATGGATTTATGTCCTGAAATATAATTCTGATGGAACTCTAGAAAGATACAAGGCTCGATTAGTCGCCAAAGGTTACACTCAAACCTATGGCATTGATTATGAAGAAACCTTTGCTCCAGTTGCAAAGATGAATACGGTGAGAGTCTTGTTATCCCTTGCTGCCCATTACAATTAGGATATAAATCAATTTGATGTGAAAAATGCTTTCCTGAATGGTGAGTTAGAAGAAGAAGTCTACATGGAAATCCCGCCTGGTTTTGATTCTGTGAAGGGAGAAAATAAAATTTGTAGATTAAAAAAGGCCTTGTATGGATTGAAGCAGTCACCTCGTGCCTGGTTTGGAAGGTTTACTAAGGTTATGATGACCTTAGGATACAGACAGAGTCAAGGAGATCACACTCTTTTCTTCAAGCACTCCCAAAATGGGAAGCTTACTGTGCTCCTTGTATATGTTGATGATATTATTATCACAGGTGATGATTTTTTGGAGAGACAGATTCTGCAAACACGGCTTGCCTCTGAGTTTGAAGTCAAAGACCTTGGGAAACTGAGATATTTTCTAGGGATAGAAGTAACTCATTCAAGCAAAGGAATTTTTATCAGCCAGAGAAAATATGTTCTGGATCTTCTCAAAGAAGCAGGAAAGCTTGGGTGTAAACCCTCTAATACTCCTATTGAGCAGAATCACAAGATAGGCTATGAAGAGGAGAGTCCTCCAGTTGATAAAGGACAATATCAACGGCTAGTTGGAAAATTGATATATCTGGCTCATAATAGACCAGACCTAGCTTATGTTGTTAGTGTTGTCAGTCAGTTTATGCACGATCCAAAGGAGAAACACATGCAAGTAGTAGAGAGAATTCTTCAGTATCTTAAAGCTACTCCTGGTAAAGGATTGTTATTCCGACGTGATGGCAATCTCTCTCTAGAAGTTTACACTGATGCTGATTATGCTGGATCCGTGACTGACCGTCGATCTACCACTGGTTATTGCATGTTTCTTTGTGGTAACTTAGTGACATGAAGAAGTAAGAAACAAGATGTGGTTGCCAGGTCAAGTGCAGAAGCTGAATTTCGAGCTATGGCTCAAGGCATTTGTGAGTTATTGTGGCTGAAAGTTGTACTTGATGATCTCAAAATAAAATGTGAGGGACCTATGAAGCTGCTATGTGACAATAAGTGCTATTTGTATAGTTCATAATCCGGTTCAACATGATCGGACTAAACATATTGAGGTCGCCCGCCATTTCATCAAAGAGAAACTTGATAGCGGGTTGATTACCACTCCATACATTCCCACTGGGCATCAATTAGCTGATCTATTGACAAAGGGGCTTCCTTCGGACAGATTTCAAGAACTTACTGGCAAGCTGGGAATGATAAATATCTATTCCTCAGCTTGAGGGGGAGTGTTGTAAATATTAGGTCTTTTATTATTATTAGTATTTGTTGTATTGGGCCAAGCCCATTAGGTCAAGAATTAGGTTTTTTAGTCTCTATAAATAGAGACCTCTTTGTATCAGATTAACATACAATTACTAATATTTTTTTGATTACCCTTTTTCAAGTCTTACTGTGGTTTGCTTTCCAGAAATATCTGCTTTACCCTTCCCCTCTTTGTTTATGTTTTTTTGACAAAATGCATGAAGGAAAGAACCAACTTGTCGGGCTTGACCTTCACCTTTGACCCTTTATTTCATAGCATCTGCATCCAGCTGACCGTATCGAGTTGCAGAGGAGTTTTGTTCACAGAATCACCACTGGCGGAGAAGTTGGGAGAGAGAAGTCCGGTGATTTCGTTGGGTACATCCAAGGGTTTGGCGACACTGTATTAAACAGACCACTAGTAGTCCAGTTGTTTTCCACCGATTGTGGTCAACTCAGCTCGGGTAAGTCTTCCTTGGTTATGCATGTTGAATAAGGAGTTTGAGGTTTATTTAACTCATGCTCACAATAACTTGGAAATAGATGGTATGATCCATAAGTATGTCCTGTTACCTTTGAAGTGTAAACTGAAATGTTAAAAATAATTTGTGTCATGTCCAAGTTTTATTTAAAATTATACATAATCTTTGGCAAAAAATAAGGTTTTTGGTTTGTGAAAAACTTGTGTTGGGTGGAACAGATGGAACTTTCATATCTCCTCATATATTCCCATCTGCACTCCTCTGATGTATATATTTTTCTGCAAGAATACTATCTGGATGATTGATACTGAACCATACAATCATATGACTAAAGATTAAAAAAAAAAAATTACAATATTTTCACCCACCCCATTTATCTGTCACGTGCACCACCAATGGAAGCACATCTCCTATCACGGGAGATGGATCCATTGTATTGTCTGGTATTTTGAAACTTGATATTGTCTTGGTTGTTCTCATATTGGATTAAAGGCTTGTATTTTTCAGTAAAATGTCATCACCTCCTCATTGTAATGTAACTGTTTTACCTTCATTAGATGTGTCTTCCAAGATATTATAACTCGGAAACAAGTGACTGATTTTGGTGTTAAGGTAGGGAAATTGAACTCAATAATGCATTTTATACGAGTGGGGTTGAGAAAGTTTGAGTCATAGTTATCAAATGAGGATTGCGGCCTGATGCGGCCAACCCTCAAAACCGCTATAGCGTTATTGCGGGTTGCGGTTGCGGAAATAGTGGAAAAAATATATATATTTAAAAAAACAAATTATATATATATGTGTGTGTGTGTGTGTAACATAATAAATTATTAAAATAATAATAACACCTAAAAAAATACAAATAATACTTTACTGTTTTACCTTAGTTACCTTTTAATGATGCATTCTTTTTCTTTTTGGGATACAGAAATAGTTTTACCCTTTATTACTGTAACCAGGTTACTTAGTTACCGTGACTTGTGAATCACTTTTCTGACAAATGTACTTTTCTTTTCTTTGAATGAAGATAGATTAGAATCTCCTTCTTTCTCACTTTCTCTCTTTTTCTCTTTCATCCGTTCTCTCTCTCACAGTTTCTCTTTTTCTCCTTCATCTGTTCTCTCTCTCTATTACTATTTTTCTCACTTTTTCTCCTTTTTTCCGTTATCTTCTCTCTCACTCTTTCTCTCACTCAAAGCTTTGCTTCTTCATTCATGGCTTTCGCATTGAACTTCGATACTATAAGAGAGAAGTAGAGAAGGGAAGAAACGAGCGCGATAAAGAGAGCATGAGAGGCAGAAGAGAGACACACAACAGAGAGGCAAAAAGGGAGAGTTAGGGTTAAAACCATAAAAAGGCACTGTTGCGGCGAGATTTGGCCGCAATTGCGGCCGCAATGACCGCTATTGCGATCTGGTGCGGCGCGGCGAGAATGGTTGAGGCGAAGCTCCGCAAAGCGCAACTGGCGCGGCTTGCGGCGCATTGACTACTATGGTTTGAGTGATTACCTTGTTATGGTATAGGGTTTTAGGACATTTATTTTGGTTAACTTAAGAAACTTTATGGTAGTTTGTTTTCTATTGTTATTTATGATTTTCATTGTGTTAACAAATCATGTTTGATTTTGCTGTTATGTGGAAATCCAAAACCATGATGCTAATCACCAACGTTATCATTAACAACCCTTCACAGAGTATAATTGAGATAAAAAGATTTGACATGTAATATTTCTGTTCTTCAACAACTAAATACTTATAGAGTTAGTTTGGTTTTCTCTTTTTTGGTTTCCTTCGTGAAATTTATTTGGTTTGCATCACTTGTGCTTATGCTTCTGGGTTTGTTCTTATTACTTCATTCCATTACATTCCCATTCCATCTACCTTTCTTGTTTTAGCTAGTCTCCATGTTTGTCTGCTAGTTTTGCTTGTTTTTATTATATTTTAGTATTCTATCTACTGTTTATGTACACTTGTTTTCTGTGTGTTGGTTTATATTTGTCATGTGTTGGGGGTCATTTGTACATATTAGATGGTCCTTTACCTATGTTTTTTGTTTTTGTTTTTGGTAAATGGTCCTTTACCTATGTTTTAGATGTGTTGAGTGTTGACATTCCCTGGATTCAGAGTTGTAGGTATGATATGAGTCTATTAAGGAATTTCAGAGATGGATTACTTAATTTTTTTGAAAGAGTGGTTGAAGTCCAATTTTTTTGATTAGAGTATAATCATATCAGATAGAGTATGATATATCTTGTGTTCTTCCTAGGCATTAATCCCTTGAAATGACTTGGGTAATCTATTTCTTTTCATTTGTGTGGTACAAGTCACATGTTCATCTAACAATCGTTAACCAACCACATAAATTGCAAATAAAAAAAAAGTTTGTTTTGGGTTGCAGATACAACTAATAGAGCTAGCATTTTTTGTGTCTTTCTAAGTCTCAACTGACACACATCATTTTTATTTGATCTTTATGAAATTCTGTCAGATTGTTGCTATGGGAGTTTTATTGGGATCTGCTATGGAAGAAATGCTGATGACCTCCCTACACCTGATAAGGTTGCACAGTTAGTTCAACTTCACAAAATCAAATATGTGAGGATCTATGATTCTAACATACAGGTTCTGAAAACACTGGAGGTGAACTTATGATCTATGATTCCAAATTTAGATTTGCTGTCATTGTCCCAGTTCCAATCAAATGCAGACATAACACGTTAGCTGTGTGGGAGCTGATGAAAAGCTAAGCAGAAAGTGAACTGAAAGGAATGTACAAGTTCATATTTGGGCTGTAGCAGTTAAGCTTCTGAAATTACATGATCATCATGGTGGCTTTCAGTTCAGCCATTGGGTCTTGAGATGATTTCTCGCCTACACCGTAGCTTGCTACTTACAACCATCATCTCATGGCATCAGTCGACATAGCGTGGTGATACTAAAATAAAATAGAATAGCCATGTTTTACTTATGTTTACATTGTTTTAGACAAGGCCATCCAATTTTTCTTGTAATTATGTGCAGGATAATTTTTGTATTCGATTTATGTGTTTTGAAAACGTTATGTCTAAATTATAGGTGTACTTTTATTTGTACATTTATTTGTCATATATTATTCATTATGGACCCATATTCAGGTACTTTTACATTTGTTGCCTCAATTTGTAAGTCTTCCCCGTTTACAAGAATGTCCACAAAGTCATTTATATTGCAGTTAACCAACGAGTAAAGCAGGGATGGCAATAATACATGCCTCCAATCGGTAATAATACATCCATGCAAGCATCTCCTCTCTCCTTGTCGTTCTCTGAATGATTGTCTGCAACCTAGTTATTTATATTTGGGAGAGAGAATGTGGGTTACTAAACTACATAGTTCGTAACTGTGAAGTACTTATTTACAATTTTTTGTTATAATGATGAAACTAAAAAGAGTAGGGGCAGAATCTAAACTGGGTAATTACTAGAATCATGCTTATACTTTGTTTAGAGTTTTGAGATAATATATAGTGATGATCGTAAAGGTTTATGTAGATGCAAATTTTGTATAAAATATAAAATAAATGGATGCAATTTTTTTTAATATATCTTGTACTCAACTGATCAGTTTTTTTTTTTTTCAGTCACATTGGATTGGAAAGGATTATTACAGGTCACATGTTCAAATATATAAGGGTTATTTTATAATTTTGTCATATTTTTCCATCAAAATTTTATCTCAACTAAATATGGACTAAATATATTTAACTCAATTTTTCCTGTAAAATTTCGTTTAATCAAATAACTTTTTTTTTTTTAATTTTCCTACCTAACTCAATTTCTCACCATATTCCTACTAATTCTATTTCTTTAGTAAAAAAAAATTTCTCCTAAACCAAACGCTCCCTTAATGTAAAATTCTTTTTCCCAACACCCAAAAACTGTAATATAATAAGATTGTGTGATGAAATAATAAATTCTTGAAACATTGATGTATCTCATTTTTTTTACATAGTAGCTAATTTTTTTTCTGGCTTTAGATAAATTTATCTGCAGGGTTTTTTTTTTTCCTCTTCATATGGGTTTTACATGTTTTTATGTGTGTTGAAAATAAATTTATCACTTATAATATAAGAAATAATTTTGTTTTTGGTTGGAACATGTTAGCTATTTTGCTTTCCCGTTCCAACATGTGGTTCTCTTAGTAAAGATCATACGATGATGATAAATTCATTAATAATTAAAGTATAGAAAAACGTAAATAGTTAATTACATAAGTGAACCCAATAACAATTATATTTTAAGGGGAATGCAACTATCAGAAAGAAGGAAGTATTTCCTACTAAACCATGCTACGAGGGACTCATCGTATATTAGAAAAATAAAATAAAATAAAATAAATCACTGTACCGAAATCAATTTATCAGCAGGAAAAGAAATAACTTTCCTATATTTTTATAAAGGAAATGTATTTATTATATAATAGGAATACAACTTGTTTTCTGCACAGACAAAAAAAAAAAGATGTGAATTTTACAATTTCTTCTTTTCTCTTTCCTAGACTCACTTTCTCTCTCTTTTTTTATACAAGATCAAACACTATTTTTCATGTAATATTATACATGTATAACCCTTTTATAAAACCTAATTTTAAATATGTAAGCATCACAATCTCAATTGTATGGCGTCAAATCTATAAATAAATCATTTCACACAGAATTTTTAATTAAAGCAATTTTACGTTGGATGTAATTATGAATTATTTTGTTTCCATATTAACACTATTTAAATTATTTTTGTGGTCTTGCATATATAAATGTTTACAATTAAATTTTAATTTATTTTTTAAAATTTATTTAATAGCGATATAATTTTTTAAAATTTTTTAAATTAGTCATCGTGTCTTGTACAGAAAGCGAGTCCTGATAGCACAATATTGCCTTCAGTCTCTCAATAATGGCTGTCTTGCTCCAAACACATTACCCTTCATCTCTGCATTCACCGCGTTACCGTTATATCTGCCGAAACCCTAACCGTTACCGTTACTTTCCTAAATTCCCCGCGACAACCACCAAATTCCTAGTGCGATACAATGCCACAGTTGAATTCTCCGGTGACCGGAATCTGTCACACCGTTCGCAAGCATCACCGACCACCTCCGTCGCCGACCATCAGGCATGTTCAGAAATGGCGCCTCTCAAGTTGCCTCAGGCTTTTGTGCACCTCGCTTTCTCTGCGGTGCTGTTTCTTTGCTTTGGTGTTCGCGCGTGTTCGGCCTCTTCGCCGGCTCTAACAGCCGGTCCTTCCTCGGTTCAGGAGGAGCAAACTATTCAAGGTTTCAAAACAACTTAAACTTTGATTCTATGATATTTTATTCTGTGCTGTAGTTAATTTTAGCTGAATTCAGTGGAGAGAAATGAGAATTGAACATGAGATAGGGAGGGTTATAGGGTTTATATATATTGTTACATAATAGTATAAACCATGAAAGAGACCTTCATTCAATAGCTAAATTTTTGGTTGAATTAGTTCTTTATAGGATTCGATCCTTACTGCTCCCATTATATTAATGGAATTAATGAAGTCTTGTTGAGTTTCTTAGTCTTTTAATGATTTATATTGTTTTCTAACACACTCTTTCATGTAAGAGCCTTTGGGCGTAAAGTGAGGATATTGCACATGCCCAATTTTTTGTTTACCTTTTGTGCTTTTTATTCAATTCCACTAGAAAGTGGGGGGTGATGAGGATCGAACTTGTGACCTTGTGGTCACTGAAGCTCTGATACCATGTAAAGAACCAATTCAACACAAAAGCTTAAGCTTTTGGGTTGAAATGATTCTTTACATGACGTAGATGAGCCTGTGTATTGTCCACTCTTCAAGCCTAGTGGAGATCGAACTTGTGACCTTGTGACTCTGATATCATGTAAAGAACCAATACAACACAAAAATTGAAGCTTTTTGGTTGAAATGGTTCATTACATGACGTTTGCGGGCCTGTGCATTGTCCACTCTTCAAGCCTAGTGGGCTCTCCTGTAAGGGGGCGTGTTAGAGATATATAAACACTATTAATGTAGCCTTATCCATTAGCTTAAGTTCTTGGGTTGAATTTGTTTTTTACATATGGTATCAGAGCTTTGGTATTACGGGTTCGATCCTCACCGCTCCTAATTAATTAATAATTAATTAAGTCTTGTGGAGTTTCTTAGTACAGGTAGGTGGACCTGTGTATTGTCCATTCTTCAAGCTCAATGAACTCTCGTGTGAAAGGGCGTGTTAGAGAATAGTATAAATCATTAAAGAGATTAAAGTGGCCTTCTCTCAATAGCTCAAGTTTTTTGATTGAATTGGTTCTTTATATATATATATATATATATATATATATATATATATATAATTGCCCTTTTTTTGTGTGTGCTGGTTTGTTGCTTGAAGATGATCTCTAAGACGTATTATCAAAATAAAATAACATTCTCTAGAAGGCATGGCTGATATCGTGATTTGTGGTTTTATGGTTGCAGATGATCATGATGGGAGAAAACATGATAAAAAGGAAAATGTAGTAGATAAGGAATTAGAAGCAGCTTTTAATACTTGGAAGTCTAAAACATACGCACTGACTGTTCCTTTGAAAGTTGTTGCTTTACGTGGTTCTATGCCTCCTTCATGGATCAAGGTCTGTGACACATATTCGTCAACTTGTTTTCTGTGATTAATTAACTTTTTCTATTATTGGTTCAGTTTCTTTTCTCTCTCTTGCCCGTTCCTGGGGACAATCTTTTTTTTTTTTTTTTTTTTTTCGCCATCTGCAATTCTGTTGTTTGCTGGAAAGTTCTCTGAAATCCTACAGTTAATGTCAGGACTTGTTATAAACTCTTTTCTATCATCAATTAGCAGTTAAATTGCTGAGAGTGTGGTCCATGCTGGAGGTTCCTTTTATTCTTCCATATCATTCCAAGCAACTTATAGTTGCTAAATTTTTAATTTTGATTTTTAGTAACTTATTTTGTGGGTGAGCCTTTGAGTAGCAGTAAAGTTGCTCCATTTGACAGAAGGTCAGATTTGAGTATGCAAAATAGCTTCTTTGCAAAAATGCTAGGGTAAAGTTGTATACAATCAACTCTCATCACTACCCTCGTAAGTTGGGGAGTCTTGTGCATGTGCACTGGGGTTTGCCCCTTTTTTATATTTGTAGTAACTTATTTTATAGTTTGTCATGTCAATTTTTTCTTCACTTGTAGGACTTCATAAATTCTCAGGGGAGGAGAATGAAGTTTAACGTGAAGTATTATGCAGATCTTGAGAGTATCTTTTCTGACCTATCGATTCCCTTTACTAAAGGAAATCTTGGGCCAGCATCTGCTTTGGCTGCAGATATTGTTGGTATTGGCGATTCATGGCTCAAATTTGCCATTACCAAAGCTATAATCGAGCCAATACGAGATGTAGATCAGGAATGGTTTAAAGGCTTAGATGAGAAATGGAAGGTAACAATATATTTTGTATTTTTCTCCTTAGAACCTGTGTCTTCTCAGGATTGGTTTTATTCTTCTTTGATAAAAAACTGTTTATTTTGTGAACTTAGTTTAATTTAAATTTGATGAGTCTGCTTGCATCATTAAACATGTACGAGTGTCTATATTTTGAAAACCAAATAGGGGAACAAAGACATCATAGTTGTTTGTGTGCTTTTGTGCACTTGGCTATGTGACATATCTGTATGCATGTTCATTTACTATTGCGTCTTACAGTGCATGAGATGAAGGCCAACAATGAAGTCATAATTATGAATTATGATATTGATTTCCTTTCCTTTGGTCTTCTAAGAATATTCATTGAGTATAAACAAGGTGGTGAGGGAACAAAAGAAAAGGGGGGAAAGGGGAGACATTATGTTAGAAACTTAGAATGGAATATTTCATTCTTCACTACATGTGAAAATACAAGAATGCATTTCCCTACTTAAGGAAGTTTTTATAAATTTCATGAACAACGGAGAGTATTCCAGCCTGCATGTTTGCATAATGTCTTATAAAGCTGGTTTTGGGGCAATATTTCTGTGCCGAACTGATAGAATTTATATCACAAGAGATTTTTGATAAGTTCCTTGAACAGTAAAGAGAATTTTAGCACAGGTAGGCTGGGCCTGATGTATTGTCCACCCTTCGAGTCCAATGGGCTCTCGTGTAAGGAGGCGTGTTAGAGATATATAAAACTATTAATGTAACCTCACCCAATAGCTTAAGCTTTTGGGTTGAATTGGTTCTTTACAAATTTCGACCTACCTTATTGAGAGAGAGAGAGAGAGAGGATCTTAAACTCTAGACTCCTAAAGTGGATAAAGATTTGTTGTTGCTGTTGTTTTTTTTTTTTTTTTTATATATATTATTCTTTTCTGTTTTTTCTTTACTTTTAATTTAATTTTGGGATTAAAGTTTGAAATACAAATGTGAACTAGGGTTAAGAGAAAACATTAAAAATTCTGAGGTGGCACAAAATGCATAAGCTATCTGCAAATTAGAAAGTGAAACAGAGTATAGGTAATCTTAGAGAGAGAATTATCAGTATTATCCATAGTTCTATACATGTTGGCAGATATTTGTTTTGAACCTCAGTGGATATTATATGAGCTAATAACAAGTTAAAATGAATATTATTTGTAATGAGATCTTGTATACATGTTAAAATGACATCACTTAACCTGCTTCTTTTTATTTACAAAAACATAATTTTACTGAACAAACAAGATAGTTGGTTATTATCTTTTTGAAATGTCTCTTGATAGTATAATGGTATATTCACTAACAAAGTTCCAGGTATACCTACGCAGGAACTGTGAGGGAGAAATAGATCCTAATGGTGAGATATGGGCTGCTCCATATCGATGGGGCTGCATGGTAATAGCATACAAGACAAATAAATTTCAGAAGCACAAGTTGGCTCCTATAGAGGTAAGTTGTTTTTTAAGATACCCAGTAAAATTCTTTTGAAGCATTTATAAGAGTATATAAACTGGAATTGCAGGACTGGGCAGATCTGTGGCGATCTGATCTTGCAGGGAGAATTTCAATGGTTGATTCTCCTAGAGAAGTTGTTGGTGCAGTTTTGAAATATATGGGGGCTTCCTACAATACAAATGACATCAATTTGGAAGTTGATGGTGGGAGAGATGCTGTTAAACTTAATTTGGATTTGCTTGCGAAACAGGTATTGTTACTGGATGATCTCTCAACTGTTGCTAACGCTTTTGATTGAAATAGAGGCGCAAAGCCATACAAATCATTAGTTGACTGAAAAGAATATTTTTTATTTTTCTGTTTTTCCATATTACAAATTGAAGTTATTATACGTTTTAGTTGTCTTTGACTCTTTGTAGGTTCGACTCTTTGATAGTGTAAACTATCTTAAATCTTTTGGTGCTGGAGATGTGTGGGTAGCTGTTGGATGGAGTAGCGATGTCATTCCTGTTGCTAAACGCATGTCTAATGTTGCAGTTATTGTTCCAAAGTCTGGAGCGAGTTTATGGGCAGATCTTTGGGTATGTCTCTCACTGTTATTTTCCGTTTTAGGGTTTGATATCTTTTAGTTTAATGATTTTAAGGTATATTATTATGTGGAATTATCTAATATAGTATTTGGAATTTGGAAGTGCTACCTTTGTAATAGGAAATTGTTCATAAACTATTCGAATGGGGATTCGGATATACCTATTTAATGATGCCTGCATCCGATTCACAAATGAATTAGTCGTGAATTTCATTTCCTCGAAGACCCCAGACATTAACTTTCTTTTCCTTCCTTTTTCTCCTTTGCTTTTGGTTTTCCAGGCAATTCCTGCTGCCTCTAGGATTCAAACAAATCGGATTGGTGGGCGTGTAAGGGGAGCATCCCCATTAATCCATCAGTGGATAGAGTTTTGTCTGCAATCTGCTAGAGCACTGCCCTTCAAGCAAGAGGTGATCCCAGGTGCCTCTCCCTCTCTTCTTCAAGGTCATTCAGCCAATGTGCCCGTGGAGTTAACCAAGGGTAGGCCAAAGTTAAATACCAATCTTGTTGAGGGAGCACCACCACCAGAAATTGTAGAAAGGTGTGAGTTTCTGGAGCCATTATCTAATTCCACACTTTCAGATTACCGCTTGTTGCTTGCCTCTATCCAGGAACCTGGCCATGGATTGATACACAAAATGCATCAGTATATTTCATCGATGGTTAAATTTTCTGGGTGGTTTAAGTCGAAACTGACTTGAATATAGAGTTAATGGGCTGTGGAAATACCTATCAAGAATCTGTGTTTTAAATGTTTAGAATGACCAGAAAGCTTCTAAAGTTTACTGATGTAGAGTAACTCGTTGAGGTCTGTTTTCAAGACTACCTGGTTAAGAGGCTGTCGTCAAGCGGCAATAATGCTAGAGCTGCACGAGTTCACTACTAATTCTGGCCTCTATATGGTTGAGAGCAACATCAAAAATTTCTGTAACATTCAGCTGAAAAAAGTGATTTATGTATAAGCATATCAAGAATCTTCCTTGTTTAGGAGTACCTGATCCGGTTGCATTTTTAATAGTAGAAACTGATGCCTTTGATAAAGGATATGGAGGAATATTAAAACCGTAGTTATTAAAATCGGACCGGGAACCGGTAAACTGGTCATATAACTGATTCGGTTGAAGTAACGGATCGGCCATGCATCAGAATCGGTGCGACCCGGTGCGACCCGATCGATTTTCATGAAAACCGGTGATCCGGTCCGGTCTTAAAAAAAATATTTCCAAATTTTTTTTCAAAAAAAAAAAAAAATCATAATGGACTTATTTGAATATTTTTTTGCTTATTAACTTACCTACCACACTAATGTTATCTCAATTGTGCATTATGCAAAAAAAAAAATTGATTTATTTTTTGAATTTAAAGTCCCGCAATACGATCATTATATTTTTATTTGATCTTTTATTGGATAATAATATGTGATTTATTATTTTTTATATTAAAATATTAGAAATTTTTATTATTTTTTATAGATATTTGAGTATATTTATAATTTTTAAATATAAATTATAAAATTACATATAATTACCGGGTCATGCGGTTGAACCAGTAATCCACTGATCTAGTACATCGACCGGGTCAATGAGCAGGCCAGTTTTAATAAAATTGATTAAAACAAATTCAACCTGGATCAAAAAGGAACAATTAGTGCGATGTTATTTAGGTACCTGGCAGGCTGTCTAGCTCAATTATAGTACTATCAGACAGGAAATTTTATGTGTAGAATATATTATCAAATTTCAAGTCGATTTATTTAACAAAAGTCGTTTTATTCAAAAAATATTTTATAGGTTGATAAATATCTAAATATTTAGAAGTTAATTAAAAAAGATTATGAAATTTTATCCACTTGGTTGTTTGTTTCTCTATTGAATAGGACAATTAAGTTTTAGAAACAACTTATAACTTTTTTATAATTATCTTAAATATTTATTAATATTTTATAAGCCAATAATATCTATAAAAAAAATTATAAAAATCTATCCGCTTGTTTTTTATTTCTATCATCTCTCACTATCTATTAAAGAGATAGAGCAAGACGTTTATCAAAAAAAGAAAAAGAGATAGAGCAAGAGAGAATTTCTTCGGACAAATCGAAGTTGACATTCCCCTATACTATGAAAAGATGTATTAGTTTGAGCTATTGTCATATCCTTCTTCCACATTCAGTCACTTAAAGTCAATAAGTTCTTATTTACAAAAAAAAAAAAAAAGTCAATAAGTTCTTGGAAAAGCAACCTGTTCTTGTTTGTAAATGAATTCATGTTCAAGAAAATAGAAAAGGAAAGATTAGCAGTACAGTATATAAAATCGAAAGACATATCTGTCCATAGGTTGGTCTTAGAAAGTACTGTTAAGTAAGTGCATTAGAAGCAGTTACTATTAGTTAATGTTTCTCTCTTAAAATGACCTTATTTTAAGGTTTAGGTAAAACAATACAAAATATTTTAATAATTTTAATTTTCTTTGCATTATTTATTTTATTAAAGGGTTTACTTTTTCTGCAGTAAATGCATATAATTATATGCATTGAGCCCAAAATGATGTTGTTTTGGGGACGAAAATCAAGATGTTTTTATAATTATAATTTATTCAAAAGATATAATTATAATAGTCTTTATCATTATAATTTTCTAATCTTTCAACCCAAAATGACGTCATTTTGAGAGTGAAGATAGATAACTTACCTGTATTCACTATAAAAACATTAAAACTTTTATTAAAATATTCAACATATTTTTCCTATATTAAAATATTCAACATTTTTTTTCCTAAATTTTGAAAGTAGCAATCTATTTTCCATTATATTTGACTTTGAATAACAAACAACTACATCTTTTTAACGTGACAACAGATTTTAATTTGTATTATTTACCCCGCAAGCAGAATTTGAAAGCAGGAAATAATTTTTGTTTATCTACCATTAATTGTTGTTTTTAAGAGGATTATATTCTTTTCTCCCTCGGTTAGTCTTTTTCCCTTTAATTTTATTTGGCCTAAATCGTAGGTACTGTTAGTGTTAGCCACCATTTATGGTTAGTCCTACATTATCTGCAAGGTACCCTTGTCTTTCTACTTTTTACTTCTTTCTTTCATATTGTTGTTTGAAGTGGACTGGACTTCAAAGAAGCAATTTTTCATTTTCTTTTCCTTTTCTTTTTTATTCAAAAGAAGACTTACTATTGATGTGGGTCTCAGATAAACCCATACGAGATCCCACAAAAGGAGAAAGAATAGTTCACAACTTTCATAATTAATTAATTATTAAGGTGATTCTCATTCTTTTTATCATACAATGGGCAGATCTTTTACATTTCAGGATGACGTGCCTTTTAAGAAACCTATAAAATAACATTAACATCGTCTCAAGGCCCCCCAAAGTTTTTTTTTTCAGCTCATAAATAAATTATTCACATAGATTCATGCACCCAAAAAGGTTAACATTCCAAATACAAAATAATCCATCAATCTATAAAATAGCATCCTATAGATTCAGAGCAAATGCTTAGAAGGTAAATGTAGTGCTGGTTTGTTCTTATCAGAGCATTCCATTTACTGTAGAATTAACCAATCTAAGCAATCTAATGCATATCCCGAACTTAAAAAAGTGCAGCATATGCATGACTTTGGCAGCTTCAGTATTTTCATTTGGATTGGCGCAAAGCTGTTTCTCAATTCCTTTGATTGTATTTGGACTCACTCTATAAGCAAACTAAATACACATCATCATTTATTGGAACCAATTTCCCATACATTGTCCCAAGAACCACTTGGAGCAGACTTGGTTCCCTCCACAGAGGAACTGTGTGACTCAGGCTGAGGAACTCCATTTGGACCTGGAGGGTTTATCTTCTTGGGCTTATTTCTGATTCCAAGCAACCGCAACACAAATGTAGCTAGCTCTCCATACAATAAACCAGAGCGATGTAAAAGCTGCAAAGAGACCAACTAAGAAATAACCATATAGCATTAAACTAACTACATTCATGCCACTTGAAGGGGAAAAAAAAGGAAAAAGAAAAAAGGCAAGTGACCTTTGGCATGGGCTATTAGATTTGGCAACATGCTCTGTGCAAAGAAAACAATGAAAAATGAGGAAGGTTATACTTACAATTTTTTTTTTACAACCTCTTACAATCATATCTTATTACCGTTGATTTCTGTTAATCAACGGTTATCATTTATTGTGAATTAATAATTAATTAATGAGTTTAATTTGTTAAAATGATAATTGTTGATTGACGGAAATTAACGGTGATAATATATGGTTGTAAGAGGTTGTAAGAAAAAAAGGTTACAAGTATAACCTTGCTCATCAAAAATATAGTATGGCTAACTGCCATTTACATTAAAAATAAATATAGCAGAAGGTACACTGCATGCATTTGTGTGAAAAGAAATAACCCATCAATGAATCAAATGGTGCTTTGATTAAATCACTTGGTTACTTTTTACTGATTCTAATTTTGGACAAATAAGGTCCGAGCTTGATTTTGATTTTGGCAAACTTGATTCAAGGTAAGCTTTTCAAACTCTCACAATCACTTTTACAGAACAAATTATTTGCAAAAAAACTGTTTAAATAACTCTAGATTCTGCATTTGTTTTATTTTATTAAGTGATTCGAACATTCATCATAAATATCAAATCAACCCATTTTTTTTTTCAAGTCGAAGTCTAACATTTTTTAATTTGAAGACGGTCACATCACTTCTATACCCATTTGCGCAAGTTGGAACCAAAAAGTGATTTTTCCTCATAATATCAAAATGAAAACAATTTGATTGAGCACTTTTTAGTCAAATTTCCCAAGTATAAAATTGATTTTTACAAAACATTTTCTTCCAAAACCAATTCTGGCATAAGTGATCCTTCCAAAAGTAAAAATTTCATAGCAATTTGAAACACACAAATCGAGCATAGATGATTTCATTTACGTCTAATTTTGATCTTCAAACAGATAGGAGCTTAGTACAATATTAACAAAGGAACAAAAGAACATAAAATGGACAGAGAATGATGAATACAAAACCTGAAGAAGTGCAGTCATGAACATATGGAAAGCCTGTGTGTTCTGGTCTACGAGAATTGAAATCCGGCCAAAAAAGTTAACTGCACCTTGCATCTGCCATTTAAAGGGAAATAAATTAAACATGCGCAAAGCAAAATTTTCAACAATAAATAACAAAAAACCACATATTCATATTAAAAGATTCCCGGGGAAAGAAGAAAGGAAGAGAAGCAATGGTGTAAAATGATAACAGTGAATAGAGCATATAATGACCCTAACTGAAAAATCTTAATTAGAGGTTTAATTTAAGGATTTAAATGTCATAATTAGATTCAAAGCGTGATTTCGAGTATTTTGAATGTACTCATGACTAGGTCATGAAACAGTACGTTCTGCCGAATAATCTGCATTATTGTGAATTAACCAGTAGAGCTTAAATGAGCAAAATAATTTTAGAGACATAATTTGACAATTCTGAGGCAAAATATGAGTTCAGAACGACAAATTGTATAGTTTGGCATATTCCGTGAAAATTTCGTGAATAATATTTTTCTACCGGGTATTTTGTACTGCTGTCAAAGCAATCGGTAGAGTCCAGAAACAAATAATTGACAAAATAAGAATAAGAAAGTCCAATATATGCCAAGCAAGTCAAAATAGGCCTAAGAATGATAAGTTTATAAGTTTTAAGTTTCGTAAGCAAACAACGTACAGTTAGTGATTCACAGTGCATTTCGTCCAAAACGATGCAGAAACCATACTGTGAATTATGAATATTGTTCCTTAGGAAATAAAAATTAATGTAAATGAGTTCAGAAAAATAAAAATATGTCCGTAGCTTTAAGTTAGTTCCGGGTCAGTTAAGTGAAAATACGCGAAAGGAAAACAACCGGTAAAAAGGGCCACCTATACATATAAGTCCAAATCACTTAAGTTGGCACTATTCACATCAGCTTCCCTTCCTTCTCTCTCTTCATGGCCGATCTCCCTCCACCATTAGAGCTAGGTTTTGAAGCTTTGTTCATCCTTTGATTTCTCCCTCCACACTCAACCAAATCATTAGGTCCATCACACGAAAATCATAGTAAATCACTCAAGGAATCCATTCCACTACTTGGTTTGGGCTATAATTGCTTGTGTGAAGAGTTCTTCCTTTTCCCCTTTTCGATTTACTATTCATCAAGTGTGGAAATTAGAGTTTTTGATGGAGCTTTCTTTGAGGTTGCCCTCTAGGCTTTGTACAAGGGATTAGAGGTAATAAATCTCTATTTCTATGGTTTGTTTCTCATGATTTAAGTTTGGAAAATTTAGAATATGTTTTGGTGGGAAAACCTTGAGTTTAAAATTTGAATTGATGATGGATAATTGAAAAATGGTTTGAAAAATTATGAAAAATATCTTGGCTTCCGTATATGCATTCCACGGCCTTTGAAAGAAAGGATAGGCCATAGGGTGTTTTAAAATTGCTATATAGAATTTAGGAGACGAGTGAGGGTTCTAGGAACTATTGGCTTTGTAAATTGATTCAATGCAATTCCTAGCCTTCCTAGCCTGGGTTTCAGCCATTTAGGGTCTTTGGGCTAGGGAGCAATTAAAATTGTAAAAAACGTCTAATAAGAGGATTTATGGAAGTATAGTCTTGACTTGTGTATTGGCAAAAATGTAAAGAAACGAAAGTAAATGATAAAATGTATGCCTTATGTAAAATCTCGACATGATAGCATTTTATTGATTTTTGTTTTGGATTCTTTCTCTAGGTGTGCCTAGGGACTAAAAAGGGTTTGGATGTTGTTGAAGCTATATAAGTAACTTGTGCTACAAGTAAGCAGATTGTTAAAAGCTTCAAGAGGTAAGCTCTATGTTTAAGAAGTCTTTTCCTACTTGAATGCTCCACCATGGTTAGTGGACTATGGTTGGATTGTAGATTGTTTTGATGCTTTGTATATGTGCATTCATATAGAGTTATTTGATAACATGATATGACTTGTTTTGACATGATTTCTGTATTGATCTTTGGCCATTGATTTTGTTTGTGCACTGATGTCCGCTTGGGGTCCTTCCTCGAGACTGGCTGTGTACGCCTCTGTTATGTTCTAGTTCCGCTTGGGGTCCTCCCTTGGGAACACGTGCCCTGATTTCCGCTTGGGGTCCTCTCTTGGGATTGACTGCGTACGCCTCTGATAAGATATGTATACTTTGTTCTGTTATGATATCTGTTATATGTTACATTTGTATACTCTGTATCTGACTTTCATGCAGGAGTGAGCCCAGGGGTATGGAGAATTCTCTATAAACTTGGAGCTTATTGAGATTTGTTATCTCACCCCTTTTTGGGGACATCATTTCAGGTTCTCAGATTCCCGGTGAGCCTTCACTAGGCAGGGACACGACCCGTGGCTAGAGGTGCTGCGACGGACCAGATTTTGAGTAGCTGTAGGCTACTGCTATTTTGGAGTGTATTTATGTTATGTAGTATTTCAGCATTTTGGGGATCGTGGTGTCTGATCCTTTACTTCGTTTATGGCCTGTATATGTTTTGTACATGTCTTTCAGTTTGATGCATGTACATTTGTGTATTCAGGCATGTTGATATGACGATGTAGTATTCAATTATGTTTACGTGTTAGATTGCATGCTGTTAGATGTAGGGGCACGGAGCCGAACTATGTATGCGCCCATGGATGGGTATATGATTTATATGGATGTTTGGTACTTCTGAAAATATATGCTGTATAAACTGTCTATCAGGAACTCTTGAGAGTGGGATTGAAAAATTCCCAGTTGTCCGATTTACAGAGGTTACTCTGTCCGATTTTTGTCTCCGTCAAATAAGAATTAAACTAGAAAAAGGAAAAGGTTAGCTCGTATTTTCGTAAGTTAGTCTTTCGCTGTTTCTGTTTGTATCATATGCATGTTAATTGAACTGGCTCGAGTGGGGATCTTGATGGTGAGAACACCATAACAGTAAGGGCGATCTATAAGGCTCTTGTTGGCCAAGAGTTAATCTCGGGTTTGGCTGATGGTAGATGGCAGTAGGTGTGAGATTGGAATGGTCCTCAAAGAATCAAGTTGTTTATGTGAAAGGTTTGCCACAAAAAGCTCCTCACTCGAAGTAGGACTGCTCTTTGGGGGACTGGCACTGAATCGTGTCCTATTTGTAGGGAGGAGAATGAAACCTTGTTACATGCGATTCGGGACTGTCATGAGGCTAAGTCCGTTTGGTCTCATTTTGTGCCTTCGGACAAGTTTGCAAACTTCTTCTTTGGTGATGTTGATCATTGGTTATCGGTTAATATGGACATGGATAAGCATGGGATTACGAATGGTTGGAGGAATTTGTTTTTTGTTATTTGTTGGAAAAATTGGAAGTGGCGTAATGAATTGGTGCATAGCTCGGCTTTTCCTTGCTTAAATGTGAGGAAAGGGATTATTTGCAGCTCTGTGAGGGACATTAACAATGCTTTAGCTAGTGCTCAGGAGAGGCTTCCAGTAAAATTTTCAATGAAGATGGACATTACTTGGCAATATCCAACAGATGGGTCAGTAAAAATTAACATAGATGGTGCAGCTAGAGGTAATCCTGGCCTAGCTGCTTGTAGGGGTTTGATTCGTAATTCTCAAGTGAGATGGCTGAGGGGTTTTGCTTACAAATTGAGGGTTTGCTCTTCTTTTAAGGCTGAGCTCTGGGGTGTTCTTCGTGGTTTGGAGCTAGCTTGGAACGAAGGATTTCGTAATATAATCATTGAGAGTGATTCATCTAGTGTGATCACTATGCTCACCAAGTCTGGTGTAGCAGTCCGTGAGTGTCATTTGATTGCTCGTATACGGACATGGATCAATATGAGTTGGTCAGTTACTTTGATGCATACTTATAGAGAAGGAAACGTCTGTGCTGATTGGTTGGGAAATTTTATTCTAGATTCGGATGATTCCATTACTTATCAGTTTTGGAGGGATCCTCCTCCTGGCATGCTTCATCTTCTCCGTGGTGACTTTACTGGTGTCAGTAGGTCCATGGAAGTGAGGTGTAGGATTTAGTTTTGGTTTTGGTTGTCTTTGTTGTTCTTTTGGCTTAGGCCTTCTGTTTACCAAAAAAAAAAAAAGTGTTCAAAAAATAACATATCAATTTTTAGATGCTGCTTGGATGACCAGGTACTCCTAAAACTAAGATGTTTCTTATTACAAAAAAAAACAAGATGTTTCATAACAGATCTATAATCCCAACCAAAAAAGTTAGCATTATCCCAGTTTCTGTTACATCTTGTTTCACATGCAGTGGCGTAGCTACATTATGTTTAGATAGGGGCTACATTTCAACAAATTTTATTTGTTATATATAATTATATAAATAATTATAATTGAGCCCTAGTTAAAACTGTAAGTTTGCCCTAGCTAAAATTGTAACAATGGTAACAGACGAAGATTTGGATCTGTTTTGTATGACCATATAACATATTGCTTTATTCTTAATTTCTTCTTCTTCTTCTTTCATCTTTTTTTCAATTAGGGTTTTCTTCTAACTTTTTTTTTCTTATTCACACTCACCGCCCGTAACCCAGTCATTCTACGATGAGGTACAACGACAAGGTATGATGTTTTGTTTCTTTATTAAGATTTTAGGAATACATGTTCTTGGAATATGCATTGGTAATTATATCATCTGCTCGAGAAAAAATTGATTTATATTTTTGGACCTTGTAAAAGAGAAATTCTGTCTTTACAGACCATAATTGTTCTTTGGGTGTTTTTAACATAAGTGAAATTCATGCCCCTTTTTTTATTTATAACTCTTTTTTTGTGGTTGTATGATTTTATTTTATTTTTGAAAAAATGGAGTGTTGTTTCACATTTACCATTTTTAAAAAAATTATTTTAACGTAAAGTTATAGTTGCTATTGGTAATGGAATTGAATTGTTTCTTGGTGTTATTTGTATTTGATTTCACAACAAGAATGAGAATTTTGGCGATTAATCAGTGGAAATTGTTAAAGAGAAAAATCAATGAAGATATATGTATATATATGGAGTATGAAAATTTCTTGTATATATTCATTAACAACTTCCTTGTTTTTTTTTTTTGTTTTTTTAAATTTTTTAAAATATCTAAACACTAATTAAATGATTTATGTGGATCCAATGTCATTTAAATGATTTATGTGGCTCCAATGTCGTTTAAACGATTTTGGACATTTGTCGATGATTGTTTCATGTTTCTTTTTAATTGTGAAGTTTGATGTCCCTCTACGTTGATGTTCTTCACATGTCACGACTAGGGGTATAAATGAGCCAAATTAGGCCAAATTTTGGCTTTGATAGCCTAAGCCTATGTAAAATATTTAGAGTCTATACTAGCCTACTAGCCTATTAAAGACTTGATTTATAGGTCTGGCCTGATCTATTATAAAAAATTAAAAACTTAATACGACTGTAAGGCCTACCAAGTTGCAAACTAAAGTTTATAGGCCAAAACCAAATTAAAATATAAAAGATAAAAAACATTATTCACAAATCACATGAAATAAATTTTCATTAAATCACATGAAATAATTTTTCATTAACATCACATGAAATAAATTTTCATTAGCATCACATGAAATAATGTTCATAAAGACCACATGAAAATGTTCATAAAAATCACATGAAATTTTCATATATGTATATATACATATAATTTGCACTTTTTTCTTACTAATTCAATTTTACATTATATTTTAAATTTTAAATAAATATTTATTATTTGTTAAAATAACATCAATCCTATTACTTTAAAAAATTTAAGTACTTTTTTTTCATAATAGATCTGTTGGGCCCAGTTAAAATTAAATTCTGGCTCCGCCAATGTCACATAGCCCACTGGCACTTGTAATTATTACCATACTTGAAACATGGGATTCAGGTTCTTCTTGCACAATAACACCCAAGAAACATGTATTGTATTGAATAAAGGTAATTCAGAAAAATGAGAGAATTTGATATAGAACGAATTAAACATTAATTTTTTTAAAAAAATTAAATTGCCAGTATTGAAGAAATATACATAACTTCATGCTCTACCAAGTAATAACCCGAAATGTCGGAACCAATATCAATTGTTCATGTTCATCCCTATGACAAGACAAAAAAAAACTAAGGCAAAGTACAACAGTGCTTACCACACGCAGAAAAGAAATCCAAAATCCCGACGGCGATGGAGAAGAACCATTAGGACTCGTTCATTCTATTTATATTTATCCATTTATCAATAGTTCATGTTCATGTCATGACTCGTTCATTCTATTTATATTTATCCATTTATAGTATTTTTAAAATCTTCTTGTATATGCTCCGAGCATACACAATTGTCCTTATCAACAATAATCACCATGTTTTTAGACTAAAGAACATTGCTCAAATTTATTTATTTTTATACTTATATTTTTCTTTATCAAAACTCTTAATTTCATTATGCAATATTATATTTTTTATACCTATCTCTGGTACATATTAAAGTTAATACATTGACTTATATTTTCATATGAAAACTCCTAATTTCATCATATAAACATGAGAAATCATTTTCTCATTTTACATGAGAGAGTTATCTCCTGCTCCTCTTACATTAAAAATTGTGTTATCACTTTCCTTTTTTTAATAGATGGTGGGTCCCACCACATCATGTGTCTATAATAGGATATACTTATCTCTAACAACATGAGATAATAGAACCCTTATAAATATTAATGTAAATGTCAAGCTAGCCTACACATGTTATGTTAGGAAAACCACAATCAATGAACTAAGTTACACTAACCGTAACAAGTGAGTTCAACATCATATTTCAACTAAAAATCTTAAGACATTGGATTTATGAATCTTTTTATTTATATAGACCACACTTAATTCGTTACCGATTATTATAAGATTCCATACTCAAGTTGGTTTTTATTAGGTAATTGTGCCATCTTGGTTGAATGATATACGAAATTAGATTGAGCATACAAATATTAGATCCATTTTGCAGCAACAGAACTATATGTTCGGTCCTATTGAACCGTATAAGGATACCTCAAGTGTATGCGCTCAGAGATATCTAAGAAATAGATATCCGATTGGCTTATAGTCAATACTTTAATCACTGCGCACTATCACGGGCTCCAATCACTGCACACTATCAGCGAGTGTGTAGCCAAGACGTGTGTGTGAATAATATTGGCAATAATAGTAAATATGTCAAAAGTGTGTACCTGAGGTCTTTAGCCTCTTATTATAATGATTACCTTCATAGATTTGGGCCTTTAAGATCTCCCAGTTGATATGAATTCTGCCTTGATTGATGGAAATAGAAATCTTATCCTTTAATCCTCTCTAGATTATATAATTGTAATATTCCTATCCAACCTTGCTAATAATAAAATTGTTAGGATATGGATCAAGTCCATAACACTATATTTCCCATTTTATAATGCATCTCTTAAAAGAAGAGAATATGCATTAGGTAGCAATCCAAGCATAACATGTGACAACCATAGTTTTTATTAGACTTTCAACTATAATATAGACCACGCCATGCCCATACAGTAATGTTAATGAATATTAGTATGTGCAAATATCAGTTCATTTATTTCTTTAATATCATTCTACAAATAGTAATGCTCATTCAACTATAATATTAGGGGTGTTCGCGGTCTGGATTGGATCAGTTTTGGAAGCAAAAATTATCTGATCCATCCCTTCGGTTTGATCATTCAATCATCCATTCGGTTTGAATTTTTTTCAAATCTGATCCGATCCAATTTTTTTCGGTTTGGATTGGATCGATTTTCGGTTTTTTGAAAATCCTAAAATTCATTTCATGGTTATTGTGCAAATAACATCTTTTCTGTAATAGGCTTTGTAAATTATTATTTTTTTGAAATACAAAACCATCAATAAAAGATAATATAGTTTTTTTTTTACGAGATATGAAGCTTTACACAGATAAAATTTTGTTGATAAGATGTGACTAAGTTTTTTCTTGAGTTTAATTGATGGGTTAATGAGTCTTGTATTTAGGAATTTTTGGGCTATGATCGGAGAAAGACCCAAGTAGGTAGAGGGAAATTAATATATTGGATCGATTTTCATTAACCCATCCGAAAACCGATCCAATCCAATTCAAATTTGCGATTTTTTTTCGATTTTCGATTTTTCAATTTTTGATTTATTCGGTTATTGGTTTTTTGATTCGGTCACTGTGATTTGAATCAATTGATGAACACCCTATATAATATAGACCACGCCATTAGGCTTGGCTCGTAATCCGACTAAAATGAGCTGAGTTGGGTTAGGAAAAATGAGTTAGTAACTCGAGTCAACCCAACTCGTTTCAGCTTGAAAAAAATCGAGTCAACCCACGGGTCAAACAGGTTGGCTCACGGGTTATGGTTTTTTTAATATATAAGTATAAAAGTTAATGAAGGTAAAGTGGAAAGCTAAAACCTAAAATTCCAATTTCAAAGATCCAAACAAAAATACCATGTAGCTGCCAATAAGTGCAAAATCGTGCATTAAAGACCTTTTTTATAGTACGTGTGACAGTGTGAATGTGGTGTCAACTGCTAATAAGTCCAAGTCCAATTGCAAAAGAATTTTTCTATGATTTATCTGTATAATATCTTTGTATTGAATGAATTAATAATTTAGGAAAAAAATTTAGAATTTATAACATGAAATTTTATTTTATTTTTCATTTTTTTTTTAGCCAACCCTAACCCGACTCGGGTCGGGTTGAATTTTCTGGCTCGTTTATTTTTCGAGCCAACCCTAACCCAACTCATTTTTTCGGGTTCAATGCGAGTTGGGTCAACGAGTTGAATATAGGTTAAGCCAAGTTGACCCGTTTTGTCAACCCTTCGCCATGCCCATGGCAGTAATGTTAAATAGAAACATAAATTAATGAATATTAGTATGTGCAAATATCAGTTCATTTATTTCTTTAATATCATTCTACAAATAGTGATGCTCATTTATAATGATGGCTATACACATAAACTTCTGGCACAATTTTGGGCTTAATAATAGAAGATGGATGCGAGCTTCCTCACTAAGAGGAAGCTTCCAAAAATTGACGAGCAATACCCAAAACCAAAGTAGGGTCGGGTCTCACCCGTCTATAGGTGTGTCGTAGCAGGTGTTGGCACGACGCGCCGGTCACTTAACGATCATCGACGAGTCGCCTTTCACCCCCTGATAGGGCAGGTTAATCCTAGCAACCTATGCTTTGTTTTATTTATAGGCAGCTCGTTATTCTTTAGTTCATATTCTGTCCGATGTGGAACATACTTATCTTACATTTTCAGATATTCACCCACCCACAGGGGAGCCACATGGCCCCCAAGATTTAAAAAATTCTACTTTTACATGCCAATCTCTTCTTATTTGGAAAGAAAACTCCCCGAATATATTTATATAATGGATGCATTTGTGTTTTTGGCTCGTGCATATGTATGTATAAAAGCCAATGCTGTTATTGTTGGTGTAATAGCTTTTCTTCTCTCTTAAATTTTTTGTTACCCCCTGTTATTGCGGGTTGTAGAGGCACATGCACAACCAAATTGTTGAAATTACAACGAATATGATTGTATAAAAAGTCTAACTAGTTCAAATAAATTTAAAAAATACTGACGAGTTGTAGACTTTGAAATCTATACATTCCTAACTTTGTATCATTTGGCAAGGGAAAAGACGCAAGCATTCAAAACTACAGAATTTTTTACACTTGATCATATTTTCTAAAGGGAAATCTATACAAACTGAGATTAAAGCACCCTTAGCTATTTACATCAGTCCTGTCTAAAGCTATAAACCTCTATGCTGCTTTTAATCTACCATATAGAGAACTCTATATGTAACATGCTACTGCTAGTGCTTCCATGAGTTTATCTTTCTATCTTCCAAAAATAGCCACCCGGAACAAGCATGGCCAAAATTCTAAGTTTCTTCTTTGAAAATTGAACTACGAGAAATATTTGACCCGTATGCCACAAATGACACCTGCAAGATCTTCAATAGAAATGAAGTTTTGCATGTGGTGGCTAAAAATGCAAACTCCTCCAACCAACCAGCATGGTTTAAGAATCCAGTGGGATGCAGGACCCACATGAGAATATCATTAATCATTAAAACATTGTAAAAGCAAGACTTCAATTGTTGCATTGAAGCCATGCATCATCTCATATACTATGAGCTGTTGTCTGCCAAGAAGCAACTGTTACTGCCACGGCTGCTTAAAACGCTAGGCATATCACGAACGAGAAACTTCACAGTGTGTGTGCCAATATCATCCAATATTTCTATGCATTCTTGCAAATCTGAGTCATTCACCAACATCACCCATTCCTCTTCATCATCTAGATATTTGAGTTGGAATGACCCATTTTGTAATTTGAACCTTGTTCCAACTTCTTCATATAGCTGGAAACAACCTGCCGATGGATCAAACTTAAAACGAATAGTATCTCCTTTATAAGTAGCTTTGACAATAAATTTTGACCCACTATCAACACAAGTTGATATGGCTTTCGAATGCTTATGCTTCTCAAAGCTCTGAGAGCCTGAGGAACTGCCATCCATCATTGATCCAGAGCTATTGGATGAGTTTGTCATGCTTGAAGAAGTAGGGCAGTTATGTTCTTCAGCTACATGTCCCCCATCCACACCCATTTCCATCTCATCAGCAATCAAGGAGATTGAACTATGACACACAATATCACGGCTAGAATTTTCTACTCCCAAACTGCTTTTGTTCAAACCCCATTTGTCCCTCTCTTCTTCAAGAACAGAACCCACACAGGTTTGTTCAGGACAATTAACAGAAGCAGCATTGTCTTTCTTCAATTCTCCCTCGTGGGAATTGGAGATAAGCACACTTTTTGAGTGCACAAGCTGGTTTCCCACCAAACACACATCATCACCCTCCAACTTAATAGCTGAATTCTCACCTGTGCTACCTGGTGCTGGAGGTACTGAGAGTGCTGCTCGTGTTACAGGCTTATGGTCTTTTTCAGCACTTTTCTCAGGGAACAGAAGATTTTTATGTGTATCAATTTCTGGGATAATTGATCCTCCTGCCACAAACCCCCCAGTAAAAGGATCAAACTTCAGCCCTCCTTCCACTCCCTGGACAGAATCAAGCACAGTCTGGATTTTCTTTAATGAACGATTCACTTTATTAATCTTGCGGGATGGCCATCTTGATATTCCATGTTGCCTGCATATCCTTTTTAGAGTTGTTGGGCAAACTGTTCAAAGAACAAATATTTGTTAACGACAAATTTGTCTTTATTAACAAGAATTACCTTTCAGAAATATTTAACATCTTCAGTGAAAGGGCATTATTCATTTTAAGATAAAATCATAGAACTATAGTAGTAGAATGTTGTCAATTTAAATTTTGTTATTAACAAGGATGTTAATGAACTCCACTTAGGTTTGACACTACACTAGCATGCTGCAAATCTTAATGGTTAACATCTCTCTTGTATTTTTCAATCTAAATAATCCATCATAAAAATATAAAATGGTTTGTGAAATTGCATTCAATATTTTTCCCTAGGAATTTAAAACTTCGGAATAAAAAGGAAATACATAATGGCTTTCAGAACCTATAGATAGGTATGCAACTAAATGATGGGGAAGATCAACCAATATAACACAAACGAGTGCGTAACTGATTAAATAACAAACAACTGTCTTATATGATAAGCTGAGTTAATAGATGAAAAGAAATTAGCACAAATAACGTTGGAGTCTCACCACCAATGCTTTTTGCAGCATCCTTCAGACTACCAGAAAAGTATTGTCGAAGAACACTCAAGCTAACATTCTTTTCCACAGTACTTCTCTTTTTGTCGACCTGCTTTTTTGATCCATTCATCGCCTGCTAGACAAATTCCTATGATGTTAAAGTTCAATTCCAGAAGATATTAAAAATCAATACACCAACAAGTTACAAAGCTGAAGCACAAATTATGTCAAGTTTTTGCATTAGTTCACTCCTTTATAACATAAATGAAATGTGATGGACATTCAGTATTTTTTCCCTCTGTTCTATTCCATGAATCACAACAACTTGAAACAAATGCTTCCTCAAATGAAGCAGCCATTTCATATTAGATTCCATAACTGTGAAAGGATAGAGGATACTCTCAAGATATACCTGGTTCTGAGCAGCTTCAATTCCTTTATTTCTCGGGTTAGATGCCATCAAGGACATCTTTTGGACTGAATCATTGTCACCGTTCACTAATAATATCTGAGAGTTTCTCCTGGACAGAGAAAAAAACCCTGGGACTTTTCCCTTTTGAAGCCCAGCTTGAGAGCCTTCTATTCCTGATAATTCAGCATCTGAAACTGTCCTCAAACTCCTACAAATTCTCTGCATAGTACCTGAGAGATTGTCTAATAAAAGTTGCTGTTCTGAACTCCCTCTCATATTGACAGGTAGAAAGAATTCTAATATGTAATCATCATCATTAGTATATGTACTCCTCAGCCTAATTGCAACTGCAGCATTCAAATTATATTTGCGTGCATGATGAACAAGGGGATATTCATTAATATCATAAGCCTTCACATCGGGATAGAAGAATGGATGATTTGATTGAAGAGCTTTCCCAGCTATACCTTGCCCTTCCTCAAGATGATGTTCAACGCATGCATGAACAAATCCTCCTACCACTCTATCATTTATATAGCAAGCTGATTCTTCAATGCATAGTACGCATTTTTCATTAGAACTTGTACGACCTTCTTTAATTCGTATTCTGTCAGTTTCATCTCCTATTCCCTCACTGTAACAACAGGGAATCCATGTCAATGCCAGCGGCAATCTATGTGCATGGCACACAGCTCGTAACACATCAACTATCTCTGTTAAAGCAGCTCTTTTGTTATTTGATAGATACTGCAGGAAAAGAATCAATCTCATAAGAAGTTGAGAAATCCATATTAAAAAACACATGTCAAGCTCCTCCACACCACTCATAACTCAGAAAGTTTAGCTTTACCATTTTTTTTCTTTCCTTTTTCTTATGGAGGGGGAAAATCAACGGGAAGAAAAAAAATTTCAGGTTTCAGCAAATACCTGGGGAAGAAGTCGTGGAGGCATAGTAGTCCTTAAGTTTACAAGCTGCAGAAAGTCATCATGAATACATTTATCATTACTACCTTTAATTATAACATGATCTGGAAATATTTAAAACATACAAAAAGAAAAAAAGGTTTCTTTTCTAAGCAATTGGAGAGTGCAGCAATAACTGAATAGGATGAGATGCATTTTCTCTTTGAAACACAAATCAAGAGGTTTCTCGATCAAATAAATCGAAGATGCACTTTGAAAAACTGTGCCATACTAATAAGTATAACATGCACCTATACATGATGACTATAGACATTATGAATATGATTTTTATTATTCTAATTTTTGCAAAGTAAGAGGACCGGCATGAAACAGTGATAAAACTATTCTTATGTGACCGAAACATTATGGGTTCAAATTCAAGAAACAGTATCTTTGTAAATATATAAGGGTAAGGTTGCGTATAAATATTGCTCTCATCCCTATTCTCACTAGTTGGGGTTTAATGGGGAGTTATTTAATTTTTGCAAGATAGTCCTAGTTTGATCACATCCTGAGAAACTCTTCTGCTTGCTTAACTGCTCCTCAACTAGGGTGAGAGAACAATATTGAATATATCAGATAAGTTACTTTATCAACCAATATAGAAATTTCTCTATGATAATCTAGTAATAAGACATCCAAGACTCCAATGAAGATGTGAGAAGACTAGTAAGTCTCAAATAGAATAACACAGATTTGCCAAACAGACTTAATATAAAAATCACTGAGGCAGGCAAATAGCAGAAATTGAAGTATAAGCTGGAAATAGTTACAGAAAAACCAACCTGGAGAGCATGAGATACAATTTCTAATTCTCTGTCAAAATTAGGCTTTTCCTTTGTAGTGACAAGTTCCAGTACAGCACAGCATGGAACTTCAGAGTGCAGATCAGATATGGGAAGAGCAATTGATCCACGAACCTCATGATTAATTGCATGGTCCAACCTCACGTACTCAGTTTTATTGTAGTAACCAACATTGGAGGTCCATTCAGGAACATGGGAGATAAACACGCGACCAGGAAGCCCTGCAAAAGATCCTGGTTTTTCTTCTGCAGAAAATGTAAATGTCCTTGACACTTCGCGATACCCTGCAAGCTTTTGGTCTAGCAAATAAGGTTGTTCACTTGTGCTTAAGATGAATTCATCACCATGCTTCATGGGAACCCAAACTTGTGCCAATATTCCCCCACCAGCTGATTCCTTGAAGAATGACAAAGCCCTCAGCATTCTCTCATCAAGTGACCAACCAGATGCATCATTTGCATCATCTGAGAACCCAAGTTGGGTGTCCATTTGCTGATATATAACTTTCTCTGCATAACTGAGGGAACTTTCCATAGCATTGTAATTCCCATTAACTTCTGTCATAAAGAATGGACCATTGCTTTGTTCCACCACTAAATTCAACCCATCCGGTGGTGGATATGGTATTGAGGCAAATGATGAAAGTCCATTAGCCAAGCTATGATCAGTCATGGATGGACTATTACACCAACCAGCATAGGTATCAAAGTTCATGAGCTCGGAGAAGTTGTAAAACATGTCCTCTGAAACTGAATTTTTCATTCCATCATCTAATGATGTAGATCCCTCCAAATGAGAGCCAATTCCTTTTCCCTCAGGAGAAAATTGCTCTTCCATGATCAGGACTCAGGATTCAAGAATTATAAGTTCAAAGACCTTTTCCTTTTAATAAAGTCTTATTGGAAGTAAATATCAGCAACACATCCCATACTAAATTCAAAATCCGCAAACCAACTACTGAGAAGCCAACAAAAAATAATTTCAATCTTCAAATAGGCACAACTGAATGACATTAAATTCAGCACAAAAGATGTTTAAAACATTAGAATACATAAAACAAACAACAAACTGATTTTTTTTTTCTTAAGGGGAAAAAAAAAAAAAAAACTTACAAATTCAACTCAAGAGCAATGAAACTAGGTTTCCCAAAAACCTGAATGTAATAAGGACCCGAGCTCCATAGAAGCATAGCAAGTGCAGTCAGTGAAACAGAGCAATATAAAAAGCACAAAGGATTTGTGAAGCATGTTAACAATTTCTGGCAATGAGAAAGACCCAGTTGTTGTATTTCACGTGATGTGAAGCGTTAATGCACAAGCCGTCTTCCAAACTCCAAAAGCTTGAAACTTGACAATCAAAATTCAGAATTTTAACATGCCCTAGGAATTGTCTTCCCCGCAAAGACAACCACCGAAGCATCGACCTCGGAATTCTCAGAACCAGACAGGGGGAAACTGTGTAGTGAAGACAATAACCGCAAGAGATAGCTTCTATAAAAGGAAAGGTAACATAAAATCTTTTCCGGCCGTTTCACAGAAACTGGATACTAAAGTTAGGAAGTCGTTATCATCTTTCACCTTCAACCCCACTGCTTGCTTAGGTAAGCTCTCTCACCGAAACCATAAGACTTCACTGCACTATATTTCCTCTATTAAAAAAAAAAAAAAACATTGTATTGTTTCTTTAAAAAAAATAAAAATTGAAGCGATTATTAGTATGTAACTTTTATTATTTTTTTATATAAAAGATGAAGAATATTATATTTATAAATTTTTTGTTTATAAATTTTTACTAATTATATTATGTAATACACTCTTAAGTAAAGTATTATTGGTGAGACATAGTGTAATTTGTAAGTTTATAAAACAAAATATGTCAATATAATCTTACTCCAAAAATATAATATTTTTTAGAAAAAATAATTAAATTTATTTCACGATACCGGGGCATATTTAACCTAAACTATAAGAAAATAAAAAAAAAACTTAAATTTAATATAATTATTGATTCCACTCGCATCGATATTTATATAACGAAAAATTATAATTGATAAATGTAAATAAGATCAGTAATTAAGATTACGTATAATATTTATATAAATGTAGATTAACTCATCCCATATATATACATAGAGGTAACATTTCTGATGATGCACAATATGAGTTGAGCTTCTGCAGACTCAGCTTTTTGTGCGGTCCACAAATAAAAGAAAAGAAAAAACAAAAGAAAGGGACACAGTTTTCAAAGGTCAGCTGGAATGGTTTTTCTGTCAGAAGATTTATTTTGGGATTGATGAAAAAATGTAAGTGGATATTGAAAAATATCACGTTTGGTTCAGGTTTTTGAAAAAAATATTAGGCAAATAAGATAGATGGGGAAATAACTTTTGTGTTGATTTTTAAATGAAATTCACTGTTACAGAATACCACTTGAGATATGGTATTTTGAAATAACCGGGGAAGTGAAAAAACAAGTGCGAAGTTTCTCTCGAACATGGATTTTGCAAATTTAAATAAATTTTTCTTGTAATATTTCGGTCAACCAAACAACTTTTTTTATATTTTTTTATCAAACTCATTTTCCAACTATTTCCCTAATAATTACATTTCCCTAGTATTTAAAAAATTTATCCTCAACCAAACACTCATAGATATACTTCCTACATTTCCTATATATATCACAGGATCAATTAATATTGGTATGAAACTTTTTAAATTGACACCCATCTTTATTAAAAATTAATAATATATCTTAATAAATTATTTCTGTTAAATTGATAGCATCAATATTTGAAATATGGAAAAAATTTTATGTAATATGTGATAATTTATCACATATAACATACAAAAATTAAATTGCATCTAAAAAAAATAATAATAAATAAATCTTACTCATTTTTTTATATGTTGCCTTTAATATGAGAAATAATATTCTCTTTAAATATATACATACATGGATGGAGAAGTTTATATTTATCACCTTTAAGATTAAAATCATTAACGATTATAAATAATATTAAGTAAGAGTCATTAATTTAATTTTAACATAACAAAATTAAAAGTATGAAATCACATAAAGAAAAAAAAATATAAATATAAATCTCACGTATAAAAAATAAAATTATCTTTTACAATGTAAAAATATTAAACCTTTAATTTATAAGTTTTGATTTTCTTGTTACCTGAGAATTTTCCACATGTTATGACTCAAATTGTTATGAATTTCATATTTATTAAAAATAAATTATACATAAATCAAAAAATCATAACATGAAAAAAAAAAAAAAAACTCCTTATTCAATATGTGAGAAGTTTAATTTATTGGCAGGAACTTCCAAACCGCCTTTATTCAAACGGAATCTCGTGAATGGACAACGATATTTGAATAAAGGAAAATAGTGTACATAATTTATGGTGACAGATTACGGATGTTGAGATCGATGTGCTTTTTATTATTATTTTATCTTTTCTAACCTTAAACTGTCTCTTAATGGTCATATTTTACCATCGTACGTTTGGGTGAAATATTTAATATCTTACGTAAATAAATAAAAAAAAATTATGTTTAACATTGTTTTTAATTTTAACACATTGTAAGAAATTAGGTCTGTTTAAAAGAAGTTACTGTTTTCAAGTCTTAATAAATAAAAATAAATAAGCCACGTCACTTCTTTTAGTGAATGTTATGTTCCTCGTTTTTATGCTAGATATTATCTATTGAAATAGTAAATTTATACTTTTGAAAAACGGATGCCATTTCTATGGCAAACCTTAGGCTAAATATGCTAATTATTAGAAATGTATGTTACGCTCCTTACTTTTTGTTTGTTACGTTATGTCTCATCACTATAATGACAGACTTTTTTTTTTTTTTTTTGATAACATAATGACAGACTTTTCGTCATAAAATTTTGTGTAAATTTTATACCACTTCCAAGCTTCTAGTGTATGAGTAGGTGTGATAAACTTGTACGTAATGTTTAACAAGTCCCATACGTGGTGTGATTGCTGATTTATTGAGGCGAAAAATCAAAATACGATGAATTTAAAACTATTTCGTGTTACTATCCTAGTGTCATGAGATATTCCCAGCGACGTGAAATATTTTTAAAAAGTTATATAACACAGCAAGTTAAGGATTTTAGAACAAAAATAAATATATGGTATACTCGTTCGGGATTTAATCACGAACATACCGGAAAAAAAATTAAAATATTATTATTTTAATAATTATTTATGAAAATATAGCTGTTTTAAAAATAAATATGGATACATTGCATTTAGTCATGTCCAAATTTTGGGTGTAACCACTAATGCCCTGCATGAGATGTGATTTAGGAAAGAGATACACCCTTGCATGGGACGTGAGTTATGAGGAGAGGAGACCCCTATATATACCCTCATTTTTTCACTTTTTCACTTCACACTATCTATCTACCAAATTGTCATGGACCCTGGACTGAACTCGAACCCTCGATATGAGATTTTTGTTCGCTCCGATGATCCAATCAATGTATGTATAATGTGGAATTCCATCTCAAAAAGGAGTAATGGCATCATCACCTATATGTACGAATTAATAATAGTAACAAAAAGAAAAAATTACACAAACAAAACCATATATGTATATATAAGTTGTTTACTAACATACCTTCATAATGTTGTGGTAATTGACTCGAGCACATGTCATGATTAAGGGTGTTCATTAACCGATCCAAGTCGATTCAAATCGCGGTGGTCGAATCAAAAAATTGAAAATCGAATTAACCGAAAATCAAAAAAAACTGAAAAATTTAATTGGATTGGTTGGTGAAAATCGATCCAATCTAAACCGATCCAATAATTCTCCAACCTTACCATCACTGGACGGTGGGTCACATGTCCGCACTTGCGGACATGTGATTTTGGATTTTAATTTTAATTTTTTTTTAATTATGTAGGTTATTATTTGTCTCTTGGTTCAATATTTATAGTAGGAATAAATATCATTTTAAGTTTCTAACAAAAAATATGGTCTCCATTTTAGTCCCTTATCAAAAATTAGTCTCGAAGAGGTCTCTAAAAAATTCAAAGTGGATAAATTTAATTAAAATTGTAGTCTCTCACAAATTCAAAAAAGACATACATTAGTCTCAAAAAGACTAAAATAGATTCACTTTAAATCTCATAGGGACCAGGTGACTTTTTTTTTATAATGGACTAAAGTGGGGACCGAATTTTTTGTTAGGGACCAAAAATGATATTTATTCTTATATTAGTTACGTACATAAATGATTAAAACAACGTAGCAATACAAATTGATTAGAGAGAAAACTTATTCTTCCTCCCTTGTCACGTACCCATTACCATGATTTTTTCATCCTTTGTTATGGAAGCAACTAGATTATGAGCGGGTTCAAGCGTTAATTTAAATTTTTTTTACAAAAAAAAATTCGGGGGCGCTGCCCCCGAACCCCCACCACTAAATGTGCGAACATAGAGAAATTTTCCTGGGTCCGCCACTGCTTACCATCTACCTACTTGGGTCTTTCCCCAACCATAGCTCAAAAATCATATAACAAAATTCTAAATCTAAGACCCATTAACCCATCATGTTGGAGAAAATGGGTTGTGCTTGATCTATGTTATGTTTTTTTGGTAAGATACATAATATATTTTTATTACATGGGTTATCGTTGTATAGCAGCTCCTATATACGATGAAAATTTGGGTTGCTTTGTAACTCACGCAACCATATTATAAATTTTTTGTTGAAGGTAAAAGATGGTAATTCAACTTTTTGTTGTACAATGCTTCTAGATTGCACAATAATCATCATACAAATCTTATGCTTTTCAAAAAACCAAAACCGATATAATCCAAATCGAATAAAATTGGATTGGATCAAATCGGATTTGAAAAAAAATTCAAACCGAATGGATGATTACATTATTAAATCGAAAGAATTGGATCATATGATTTTTGCTTCCAAAATCGATCATATCCACACCATGAACACCCCTAGTCATGATGTTCTGGGACTCGAGACTCCCCCCGATCATGATATGGCTGGATTTAATTAAGTCGCGGATCGACTACATTCCTTATCATTGTCTGAAGCAGTGGCAGAGCCACAAACATCCTGGGTGTGGCCTCGGCCCGCGCTAAATTTTAACAAATTATACTTATTATGTATAATTATATAATTAATTATAATTTGATTCAGGTTAAAATTGTAATTTGGCCCAGCTATAATTTGTAATTTGGCCATATCTAAAACTTAAAATATTTTTGGTAAGAGATTTAAGTAAGTTGTATTAGGTTATGTGTTCAATTTTCACTTGTATAAAAAAAAAATATTTTTAGTGAAATTAAAAAATATTTAATAAAATTATAACTCATTTTGGTGCTGCCTGCTTAGGTGCTCTGTTTTTGATATAATTCAAATATATTATGATATGAATTAACTAAAATTAAGAAAAATAAATACACATAATTTTTTGGCCCGGGCTCAAATTGGAACCCGGCTCCGCCACTGGTTCGAAGCATTAGAA